TGTAGACTTGCATTTGCTTTAGGAAGTTCGAATAGCTCTTCTTTAGGATGTCAGGGGGTGTGCCAATGTTACGAAGGAAGAGGGCTGTTGTGTTTGATGACATGGGTTAAAACTTGTTTTATGGGCTGTTGTGTTTGATGACATGAGTCGATCTGTTAATATTTAAGAGAAGACTTTTTTTTTTTATTAACCTTTAAGACTTTCCTTATAAGACTAGATCACAATTACTAACTCATAGATATTTTTTATTTAGTTAAGAACTAAATTCGACAAGTTTTGATAATGAATTTTGAGCATCTTTGTGTATATATATATATTTGCTGAAGTTGGGTTAGTACTATTCTACCCTCTATTATTCCTTTGTTGTTACTCAGTCAAATTAAAATCTGAATATACCTTATATATTTTTAGCATATTTTAACACAACTAACACCTTTATTACCTCTAAATTTTAAAAGAAAAAAGTGATTTCAATGAAAGTGGTCCTCAAAATCGAAGGTCTTAAGCCAACACCACCACCAGCATGACAACATATGTTGTCTTATAATAACAAAGCACTAACCTAGAATAATATGGAAAAACAAAAGTACTACTAAGTCATTCTAAGAGATGGCATGGACCTAAAACAAACGACTCTCTTATCAGCCAAGCGTATGATAAGCATGCTTGGACAAGATGGAGCAATGATATTAAGCATTAGAATGTACAATGATAATGTGATATTTTAGTATGTTGGTCATATAACTTGAGATGATTTATTAAAATTATTTCTTCTTGATGAGAACATGCAAATGAGTTTTTTCAGTTTTTTAATTTTCATGTGGAAAAAGACATTTTCTTATTTCAATAGATGACCTTTTAGACAATCCAATTTAATGATTAGGTCATATACATTATATACTTCCAAGTTGCACATTATGATGGAAGTAAAATAAGAAACATTAATTTTATTTTTCAGGAAACATTCAAACAGTACTAATCTCATTAACCAGTCATGTCACATGAAACAGTAGTGTATGGATCAAGAATAGTGAAAGGAACAAGTTTTAGAATATATAACATGAAAAGCTACTTGTTTACAAAAAACTCTATAACAAAAGTTTCAAGAATGTCAATTGAGATCAAACTCCAACTATATATCAAATACAAACATGTGTTCTTGCTATCGATGTAAGCTAATCAGATATAAGGTTTGGAGAGTTCATTTTGTTAGTACCTCAATTAGCAGCTATTTCTTCGAGTTTACAACTTTGTCATATTAGTTCAATTTATGCTAGAGTTCTTCCAACTTTGTGGTTCTAGTCGTGATCATAGAGTTTACATCTTCAACAAATAAGAATTAAAGGTTTAGGAAATCCCTCCCCCCCTCCCCCTTTTTTTTAAGAAAGAAGAAATTTTATTGAATGAATCAAAAAATTACGAGAAAAAAAGGGATAAAATCCCAATTTACACCACCACTAAATGGCTTTAATCCTTCAAAACATGACAACATGTCAAGAACTTCTCCTTCAACAGCACATCAACCAACAAATTAGCAACCAGAAGCAATGTTCTAACAGAATCAGCATACAGTCGCAAGCTAGGAACCCATCATTATCATCCATAGTCAAAAAAGGTTTGAGAAATCCCTAAGTGACACATTTTAGATATACCCATTTAGATCCTATGCCCCTTGCATCAATAGGAACAAAATATGTCCTATTTTGGGTCAAGGAGAACAAGAAGAAGATATCATGGTATTCAATGACAAGTCACAAGGTCTTCACCATAAAAATAGTAAACTGAATTAGATAATTATACATAATAAACAAGTGGTATACTCACAAAATCAATAAACAACATATATCAAGTCTATATATCAGAAAGAGTAGAAAGAAATAAATTAAACACCTGGTTTTGGCATACATATTTCTGCCACCTGCTTTGAAATGCCTTAGTTCATCCACAATCACAGGAGAAGAAGGCTTTAGATTAGTTGCTCCAAAAGCATTTTGTTATTCGGTGCTCCTAATAGAAATGCTGAAATCCCTCCTTGAGTCGCCTAACCATGTGTATTTTTTCTCACCAATTACAGTGTACACATAATTCCAAAAAGGCAGGCATGGATCCAACTTTTGGTAATCTTAAAAAGCAACTCCAGTACTCTTAACCACATAACCATCTAAAAATAACTAAAGGAAAATATTAGTCCAGATTTAAAAAATGGTTTAGAATGCACACATCATCTGATGCATGCTATCACCTCTAATGCTATTAAATTTGAAACACAATTGTGGGATACAAGTAGTCATTCATGTGCGAAGATATCACTCCGAATTTCCAGCCTTCAAGCATCATCTGCAAGAATACACTTTCCATGTTTGAAGGCAACATGATATTAAAACCACCACACCCCACAAAATTACAATCTCATGTAATTAGAATCTCCCACTAGAAGCCACAAAATAACATCCTTACATAATGACTAAATTTTTGGTTAAATATGAATTAAACATCTACTTGTGATTGGTCGAACTAAAAAACAGAGTGCATGGATTTACTTCGTATAACAGAACTGAACCAACATTTAAACAAGTGTGATCATCGAGACCTCTATTTTTCCTGCCACCATATCCTCAAAATGCAATTTTGAGTAATTAGAATAAAAATTGCAATGAAGAATGTTTGGCTTAATGAACTGGAAAATTGATTCTAAAAATAAAATAAAAAATTGGAAAACAAAATAAATGAAAATTGTCTCAAATGTGTAATTCAAATAAAAATAAATATAGCAATCGACGAGACTTCCATTTTCACCGCCACCATATCCTCAAAAATACAATTTTGAGTAATTAGAATAAAAATCACAACAAAGAATGTTCAAAACCAATATATACACACATCAACTCCCAAATCCAAGAACAAAAATTAGACAAAAATAACAAGAAATATTTGCCACGAAAACAACAGGGGAAAGACAGATTGATATCTAAAAAATTATCTAAAATAGAACTAATCAAATTTTATACATTCAAGCTATGTAAAAGCACTGTGTAATCTTACAGTTTCATTGCCACCGACCACCAACTTAATAAAAAAGGACACCAATACCAACAAGTATAAGATAAATTAAAACAAGAAATATTTAAATCAGCATAATAAAAAGAACAACAACACGGCCAAGTATACAAGAACTTAAAATAAGAAGCATGCATATAAGAAAATCTGGAGAATTACATCATTAATAGAGGTTTTAGTATTGTATAACCCAAAGCAATGGATCATCTATTAACACATAAAATCCACATTAAAAACACTGTTTTAATCTAATATTATCAAATAGACATAACAAAGAAACCATAAACAGGGAAAAGACAGCCAACAACCAATGCAATTAAAACCTAAGAACAAGAAGCCATCAAGAACATAATGATTGTTCATTTCACAGAGAATAAGTGAAGTGAGAGAGACCTTGGGAAAGAAGTCCTTGAGCGGCTCCCTAACTTCCTTTGAGACGCCACCAGCACCATTGAAGGAGAAGTAGGAGGATTAGTTCCATCTAGGTCTGCTTTTGCACTTTCAATTTCATGGGAAGGCAAATACGAAAGAGAAAAAGAGGGGGAAGGAGAGAGAGACCCCAGAGAGGAGCACCTAATGGAATCTGAAACGTAGAGGCCAAAAATCTGTAAGGCCACTAAGAGAGCATTAAAGAGAAATATAGGGAGATTGGGAAGATGAAGAGATGGAGCATGGTTGTTTGTTCGGATAGAGAGAGAGAGAGAGAAGTGTTGTAACTTGTAACGACAAAAAAAGTGGGAAACAAAGGCATTAATTTGGGTTTAGTGGATCATTATTATGAAGGCTAAGAAAGGCATACTTCTATTTTTAGAGGGTAAAAGAGAAAAAAAAATATTTTTTACATATTCTGACATTTTTAAAATAGTATAAATAAGTGACACATAAGAGAGTGGAGGCCAAGTGAATTAGATTCATGTGTTATACTCGATTTGAAATAATATATCAGACCAATATGTATTGGTTGACAACCTTGTTTAGGTCGTTGAAAATTTTATCATACATCCTACTTCAAGGTTGACACATTTTATATATGAAAAATGTTACATAACCATAAAGACATTCAAAAAGTGGAACTAAAATGAGTAAGTCCTATTGAAAAAGTTAATGAGACCACTGATCTAAAGAATGATATGCATTTAAGTTACATTTTTTTGATTTTATTTGAATTGTGTAACATTACAATTCATCTATATTGTTAAAAGTTTGAGAGAAAGAGGGAGAGAGTTATGTTTTTAGTGAGGTCACAATGAATAAAGAAATTTGGACTAATAGTTGCTATTGCGCTTTCTGTTTCAATGGGTCACTATGTTATGCTCAACGAGTTCTTCAATTATTATCATTCTGTCATTTTTCTTCTTAAAACAATAAAAAAAAATGAGGATTTGGATATGTTGGTTGCATGCAATATGGATTGAACTGATGTGAATGTGGAATTTCTACTTGATTGATTAGTAGTTATACTATTCATTGGGAAATTTTCAAGCTTTTGTGGTTTTTTAAGGTTATTTTTTGGGTTTTCTTTTTCTTTTTTTCTATTTTGCAATGGGTATAATCTTATTACGAACTATAATTCAAAATAATTCACACGCAACGTACATGTGTACCAACTAATATTATATAAAATTTCACAAATATTCTCTATGTACATTTTTTGGTTAGCGACATTAATCAGAGATATTATTTTATTAATTATCCCTAAAATATGTTGAATATAATGCAAAAGTATAAGTATCTCAACAACAAGAAGAGGATGAAATAAGTGGTAGAGTAGTAATTTCGATATTAGGGATTTAAGCTAATTTAAGAATAGTCCCCCGCAACACAATTACAAACAAGAACTCGTGCAGAATTCAACCGACGGCGTGTGTGGTCCTGTTGGCTTTCCTTCGTTGCGGTAGTAGGACTGGAGGAAAGACAGATCAGAATAACAGTTGACAATAGTTATGGCATCGGAGGGTTGGGAGAAAGACGAAGAAATGGGTTCCCTGTTCGAGGGGATGGTCCTCTTTAATCCTTCTGAATTGGCGGCGGCAGCAGCAGCAGCAGCACCACCACCACCAGATGATCAACAGGAACATGATCATCGGAATCGATCCATTATCCCTCCTCCAGCAGCACCTCCAGCCAATGATTCTGCGCCGCCATTGTTGAGTTCATCAGTCTCACATTCACATCCCTGGACGAGAACCTATTCTCCGATCTCACGCTCATTCTTCCCCCTGAAACCCTAGGAGGCCTTCAACCCCAATCTGATCCCTCTTCATGTCCATCTACTTCTGCCACCGCTACCGCCACCGCTACTGTTTCTATTGCTACAAAGACATCAACAGCATCAACCATCACCACCGCAAGCAGAGAAGTTCGGCAATTTGCCACTAGAAAGAAAAAGAGAGCTGGTTTAAGGATCGGATACGGTAGAGATGATGCCCTAATTCCCGGCGTCCACTCTCATTACGAGGAACCGGAACTTCATCCATCATCACCTCCACCCTCCCCTGGTGACCAAATTACTATTAAATCGGGTGGAGCTCTCAGTCTCGACCGTCAAGGAAAAGCACGTGAAATAGAAGAAGATGAGAATGATTTCTCGGATAAGACATCAGAAAGCATTGATTCTTCTCATACTAGTGCAGATGAAGGTTTTACCCGAATTGGCGGTTCAGTCTCGGATGCAGAAGCTGCGTCTTCGTCCAGGGATTTTCGTGAAGAAGACGATAAACGGGTAGAAAATATCCATCCCGTAGAGATTAGATTTGATCAAATCAGGGCCCAGATTTCTGACAAACTTAAGCATGCTCGGGAATTGGTCGCTTCTGTCTCCTCCGCCCGCAAGGTTTCCATTAGGAGGAGAAGAAAAGCTGCCGAGAATTTAACTATGGCATCTGCTAAGTACAAAGAACTTGAGAAAGAGCTGGAGGAAGCTTGTGAGGCTGAGGATTTTGAGGCAGCCGAAAGGGTCAGTGAGAGCCTTGCTTCCGCAGAAAAGGAAAAGGAACTCTCGCTGAGTGCACTCAAAGGTGCAGAAGCCGATTGTGATGCTGTTGACTCTAAGATGGAGGAGGTTCTCAAGTCCCAAATTGCCGTTGAAGAGGAAAGTGCATCTTTGTTGCAAAGTTTTGCAATAGTAAGTAGAAAAATCTCTAATTGAACACACACAACTCGTCATTTTCCCTCGAATAATATGTTTTTCCGTCTGCGGAAGTATCTCGTTCTCTTTTGACCATATTAGTTTTTATCCATGACCAGCATAATGTAAAATGACCAAAGATCCTACAAAATATGTTCCGTGAAATTCTGTAGTATTTCTGATTTTGAATTGTTTCCCAGTAACCAAATCAATTGTATCCTTCATAATACTTGTCTACAACCTTCTCAACATCTGATATACTTTGAAAATTCAATGTGCGCGCCCATCAACTCCCTTGAATTATCTTGATAGTCAACAAAATTAATGTGTAGACCATCGTCGTCATCATCATCATCATAATCATCATCATCTATTAAGGAAAAAAAAAACTGTCATCATCTTATATTTCTTCCCAACTTTTGTCTTTTTCAAAGATTTCATCAAGCTTCGATGTATCAAGTTCACATACAAGGCCAAGTATATTATCAATTATGAGATCGCTATTTGTTTCATCATTTTTCTCGATATATTTCTCTTGATAACTTTCAAGTGGCTCTTCAACATCATCATAAGTCAATTAAGTCTAACCATTGTCATCAATTTTTGACTTTTGATAACTATTAATTTTTTTCTTTCGTCAACTTGCATAATTTTAAACGTGAGAATACTTGAATCAGTCTTTTTTTCATCACATTCCTGGTACTTGAAAAACCCATATTCATCTAGTATTTGAAAAATCCACATTCATGGGTTTTGATATGAAACTTGATGCGATAAAAAAGATTATGACCTAGTATTACCTCGAATAAATTGTCCCGATCGAAACTCCCTTTGTTGCCTCATAGATTAATACCCATCGTATTCTTCATCGTCATTGTAATATGTAATAGGTGATTCTTGGGTGGTTATACCACAAACATACTGTCTTATAGGATAAATAAGATTACAATCTCAAATAGTTTGAACACGAGTCCTATCATTGTATTGTACCGTGTCTCAATTGTGATCCTAATTTGAACCCAACATCAACTAGGCAACCAGAGTCCGTAGTCCCTACAAAGATTGTTGGATCTATTGGAATTGTTGTTGTCTTCTTTGTTGAAAGTCCAATAATTTGGCTCTCGAAAGATCCCTTCCTCCGTGCTCACCATCATAGGAAAAGTTGTCATCACTTCGCTGATTAAAAATTATGTCATGCCAATCAAATCTCTGATACCAATTGACGCAACAGTAAACGGGGAACACACAAAAATCACCATTTTTAAGTGTAAGAACAAACACACTCTATGAATCCATAGAAAAAGGGAAAAAAAAACTTCTCAAAATATGATATTATTCAATTTTTTTGGTTCATTAGAACTCGTAGTACATAGGACTATTTATTGGCATCCCTAAATCTCTAAATGTTTGCAAAACAGATCTAAATCCTTAGTCTTAAGAGAGTTACTAAAAAAAAATAAAATACATGTTTAATGAATTAGTAAAATTGACATAGTTTAGACATCTAATTATTCTAGAATATTCCTAATTAAATCTCATTCTAAATGAATAATAAAAATAAAAAATAAAAACAAAAATAGAATAACGTCTAATTCTCTTCCTACCAACTAAAAAAGAGTCTAAAGTTTACACATCGAATTATGGTGGAGTCAAATATTGAATATAGAGTGAACCCTTTAACTATAAATTTCATTTTATTTTGTTCTACTAGATGGAAGGGAGATGATATATTTAGTCTTTGTGAGAGAGGCAAATCGAAGAAAAGTGGAGGCCAACCACAAATTAATTATAAGCAATTTCACCTCAAATTAAGAACATAGCAACAAACGATGCAAATATAAAAAGAAAACTTCACTTTAGTTCCATGTGGTTAGACTTATTTGTTCATTACTTCACCTTTAAAAGTAGCACATACACTCATGAGGTTTGTGGACTAATGTGCACAATTAATAATTTCATACAAATTAATGAAATTAAACAAAAAGACTGCAGTACCCTTACCAAGTTATTTTAATCAATTGAGGAAAACAAAGTAACCTTGGGCCAACCCCACCTAACTTTGTTAAACTACATCCCCAACTCCAACCTAGCTACCTACCGCCGTCCCCAACCCCGAAGACAGTACCCATTCCTTTCCCCTCCCATTTTCACAATTGTTCATAGTCACCTAGGGATCAAAATTTTGTTTCGGTGTATTGTTACAGTCACCTAGGAAGCAAAAATAGAATGAAAATAAATAAAAAATTTGAGAATTTTTTTCCAAAACATTGGTCCAAATATACCAAAATATCTCGAAACACATTGAAAAATTCTAAAATAATTATGTAAATGCGGCAAAACATCTCGAAATATTATGAAACACCTCAATTTTAATTCCATTAGTGATTCGTTTCAGCCTCTTTAAAAATGAAAATTTATTTCGACCGTTTTAAAACTAAATTTTAATCCTTGTAGTCACTCAGGCCCACCATCAATACACTGTAAGCACCACTATTGCAGCAGCAACACCACCACAACTTACACCGAGACCCACTCGCATCCACCAACCCATTGACCATCACAGAGCCACAATCACTAGCAACATACAGTCCATCAATTTTGATTCAACTGAATGTTAATGAAAAAAGTATAGTATTTGGGTTCTATGTATTAAGTGTTAATGTGTAATCATAGGCCATTACTAGAATAGCAAGTTTCGAACCAATTCGATTTTAGGAGATAATGACTAGGCACATTGGAAACTTATGATCGTTGATGAATGGATTTTCAGGCTAAAATATAATAGAACTTTTCATACTTCTCATGGGTGTTTAGGGTACTTTTCAATTGAGGTTTACAATGTTGTTAATTTTTTCATGTTAGGTAAAGATGGTGGGAGATGTTTTTTGGGGGGTGGGAGGGGGGGTAAAAGAGTAGGAAAGAGGGTTTATTTCCATGGTCAGTTCAAAAGGAAAAGAGAGGGGACGGAAAAGTAAGGGGAAGCCTCATCCTCCAGGCCCACCAAAACCTATCCCACCAAAGTCCAAACTTGGAAGGATTGGAGGACGTAAAGACTCTCCATCCTTTTCAACAAATGTTGCGTTTAAAATTTTATCAATATTTAAGGACATAATGGTAAAACTCCATGAGAACCCATCAATTTTCCTTTCACATAACCCAATACAAAACGTTCTTCCCTTTCCCTGTGGGTACTCTTTCCACCTCCTACTTCACTCTTCTCTTCCCTTCCCCACCTCTAGTCAAACACTATGTGAAACATTAGTTTATACTCCTTGCTTGGTAATAGAAAAGATCAGAGTTTCAAGCACAACTTCTGTTCAACTACTTGCAAACTTGTTGAAGCAGCCAATAGATCCTTTTTTATGCGTCATCAGCGAAAAATTGCAGCTATGAAAGGCTGTTCATGGCTTCCAACCTAGAAGGGCTAGAACATATCAGCCATTGCATTTGTGGTTGTTTCCTGCATAAAAAATCATTAACTTTCTATAACTGGTAACCATATAGACAGCTATTAATGTCAAAATTAAATGCATCAGGCAAAGGGTTTCACCTAGAATTTTCATGGAATGGACTAGCAAACATTTGTAACCATTGGATCCTTTCTCAGATAGTTTTGTATACTCAGAATTCTCATTTGTGAAAAACTTCATTTGGGTAATAGTAGCAATATTATAACTCATGTACTTTTTCCAGGATGCTGCAAATGATGCAGATATGGTTCTGAAGAATGCAGAAGTAATGTCTTCAAAAGAAATGAATAAATTGCTTTCATCAACCGAAGCATTAGAGGTGAAGAAGATGGAAATGGAGATTGAATCATACTTAGTAAATCAAGCACAACAGGTTTTGCATGAATCCATTGAGCATATGGTCGATAATGATAGGAGAGAAAGAGAACTTCTTGGTCTGAAAAAAGAAATGTTGACCGAGCAACTGGAGAAACTAATTGCTTTGGTAAAAGACAAGGAAGCAGAAATAGCAGAAAATGATATTAACATTGAAAAAGTTGAGAAAAAGATCACTGAAGTGGTCTCTAGCTTTCAAGAGGTGCAGTCAAGCATAGATACAAAATATTGTAACCTGCAGTCTGGCCTGTATCAGATGGAATTGGACAATGAAACTTTTTCTAGAAAAAAGAAGGAAATTGAAGACTTCCTCTCTGAGGAAGAAGGCAGGGGGGCAAAGCTTAGGGAACTTGCCAGGATCTCTGGAGATGAAGCGAATGCGTATCAAGAAGTGGTTGGGCTTCGAAAGGTTCTGGTGCAGTTCATTTTGAAATCCACTGTGGATAAAGTGAGGCTTGCCTCAACTGAGGAGCGACTTTCAGAGGATGTCCAAATGCTCAGGCAGGAGGTTTCTGCTTTGAGATCTTCTCTTCAGGTTTGTAATGCATCCCAACCTAGTATAGTGGGCTGTTGTCTATTTCCTTGTCTCTGATAGAGTGCTTCTCTTTGATGTCTTTTTTTAAAACTATTTGTAGTGCCCATTGTAAGGTATTAAATATGATACTCTAGGCTACCTAATGTAATATAGATCCCCTCTCGTACTCTTTTCCTCTGTTTTTATCCTGGATATACTAGTGAGGGACCCACTTATATTCAATGAGGTTCACTTGAATTTACTGTAGTTGGTCTAGCAATCAGGGAAATAGAGGGAAAAAATTGTTAGGAGAGAATCTCACTCCTACATGAGGTATTGGTCTGGGAAGCAGCTCCCTCTGTTTTTGACTTGAAAGAACTGTGTGATTTTTCCAAAATTCATGGGTTTGGCAATCTAGTTCGTGGATTTGACTTCACTATTCACAAATGTACTTTTGAGGCAACCTCTTCTTTCTCACTCTTTGGTCTAGTTTGCATGCGAATTCATGATTTTGTTAGGATGTGCCTTGAGCCCGCGCATGGGGATTGAAAACCTATTTAATTAACTTCCTTGTTATATAATATAGAACCCAGAGGAGGGGTTAGTTGGTTCCATCATCCAGTTCCAATTTCAATATTGAAGCTATAATATTCAGCAGTTGATCTTACAACCTTTGCGGGGAAAACTACATGATCTCATTCAGTTCACTCGACACTATGGAAAATGCAATTTCATGATAAAATACTTGCATAGTAGCCCTCAGCAGGTATTGACTGTACCATCATGAACAACGGCTAACCCTGGTCACAGACGTTAGAGCTCACACCTGAGCCTCTGTGTACCACTTTTAGTCTTCAACTCAGTCCCTCAAACTGGTCGTCACAAACACGTATCTCCCCCTTGCGATATACTCACTTTTTTCACGAAGGTTGTGATGGGTGTGGATTCTATCTCTGTCGAAGATGTATCGCAAATTCTGAGACCTGTAGAAGCATTTTCTATGATTATGCTCACAATGAAGAAATCCCTCCAACCTCTAAAACCCCGGTTTCAACTATTGGGAATCACCCACCCTCTACGAGGCATTAAGAGACTATGTATATCCTTCAATAGGGTCTCTTAACAAGGGTGTAATGTTTCGTAATCAAATACCAACAATGTGGAGGTGCTTTGGTTCAGTTGAAACTTAAAATTGTCCAGGCACCAAACTGGATAGCTCCAGATCTAGTTTGGGCAGTCCAGATTGACAGATAGCAATTCTACGAACTTGTGGAACCATCATGCTTGATCCGTGAAGTTTCATCTTGATTGGTCTTCTGGTGCTGATTGTTCAACCTCAACTTCTAAGGAAAACTTAAGACGTCTACTTTTCCATGCAACTAGTCATCTCGAAATTCAAGTATCCTAAAAGATACAATCAATATAATGCTGTGAAATCACTTAGAAATCATGGATTCTTCATCTCATCTAGCTAACCAAGCTCCCCATTGTTGCTTCTTCACTTCTGAATGCTCCCAGAATTGGTGACACACCTATTCAGGCAAGTTTTACAACTTGATATTGTGTTTTGGATATGGAATATGACAACACATGCCTAGAGCTACTAGAGACTTAGGTTGGTGTATTATAACACTGTTCAGTGTATAAATCTGAAAACATTCAGTTGTTTGATTAAGTGCCTTTGATTTTGCACTAGAAAAAAAATTGCTTAAAAATGTCTTGCATTTTAACTCTGGATGAAATGACTTATTAAGTGGATTTTTGATTTTAAAATTACTCACATTGACGAATTTGTCTTTCCATACTATTTTATCCACTTAAAACTGTCAGCTCTCATTGTTAGGTACTAAAACTCTGCAGTGTTTAAATATCAATTTTATCAACCAACTACTTAGATGGTACTCATTTAGCACTATACCATATCATATCTCCTTTTTAGGTTGGATGACTTGCCCACTTTCCCCCCCTCTTTTCTTATGTATGCTTCATTATCGATGTTCGTAAGATTCTGCGTCTTATAAAAATAACATTTCTCTTTCTAAATGAATTATAATTTGTTTGAAGCTTGTATGATCTAGGGAGTGTTGTTTGGTGTGCCATCCAGCTTGAAAACATGGGTTTTGCAGGCAACCACTTTTTGCTGATATGCTAGAGTTTCCCGTCAAAGACAATTGTGAGGCTATATATAAGACTGCTGCTCTCTTTTTTTTAACTGAAACAGACAGGCAGCCAGTACTTATGTAGCACATTCCTCTACCATTAAACCTAAGGGAACTGTCACAATACATTCATTCCCTTACAAAGTGGAACCTTTGATTTTCGTTTCATCAAATCATTTTGTTCTTCAATCTTCAGCGGGATTCTTGCTCTGACCCTCTCTTTGTTAAGCTTTCATTACACACTTCTAACAATATATCATCAGGAATTCCTAACCATTAGGTTTTGCAAATTAACTCTACAATTGTCAGGTTGCTGACTTGCTATTTAGCTTTAAATACACCAATGCCTGATTATTGCAGATGTCAAGGCAGTGGGATCCATGATCCAGCATTTTTTTGACTGACCCTCTGGATAATCATTATTTATTTCTTACTAGGTAGGCTTTTGTTACAGCATAGCACATGTTGATGAATTTCTCTCATACACTGCTTTTAGGAGTTGTCATCAACAAAATCAAGTCTCCAGCAATACATTGAATCCTTAAAACAGAGGCTTCTCTTCATAGACAAAAGAGTCCCAGAACTGGAAGCAGATAAAAAGGTTGCTGCTACTGCAAGAAATTTCAAAGAAGCAGCACGGATAGCTGCTGAGGCAAAGACTCTGTGTGTTGAAAAGGAAGGTGTGCAGAAAAATTTGGAGCGGGCCATGTTAGAGCTTGAGAAGCTTGAGGAAGAAATTTGCAACACTGTTAACAGACTGCAGGAAACTGAAGCGCAGATTTCATCCAAGGAAATGGAATTGGCAACAGCTAGATTCCAGAGGCTACACCTGATTGTTGGTGTGGCCACAGCTGAGAGATCAGCTGCTCTAGAATTAGGTGACCTTGAAGAAGCTGACATTCTACTTGCAGAGGCTAAAGCTGCAGATTCTGAAGCAAGAAAACTTCAACCGGTTTATCACTTTGAGGAAGAATGTGCAAATCTACCCAAACATTTCATCTCCATGGAACTTGTATCCAATTTGGACCGGAAACAGCTGGCAGAATTGGCGGCATCTGCTCAGATCTCTGAGTTTTCATTATTATAAAACTGGGGAAGTGAATTTGGGTTGAGCAACCAAAATAGTTTCAGGCTCAAATTTATTTGCGGGAGCCTATGTGAAGCAAAAGAAGCATAAATTTGGCTGAGCATGATGTTGATGTGCAATGTTTACTTAAGGGTAGGGTGAGGTGCACGGATTGAATTTGTCATCTTCTACCCTTTCTATGATTCTTCTCCGAAGTCATTTCAATTGTGCATTGTGAATTAATACTGATCCTGCCTTTGTAGTTCCTCTTTTGTGTTTCACGGTATCTGTGGATCATATTGCTTGGATAGGAAGTTTGGCTTACTGAAGAATCATTTTCTGGACCGAGTTCTCCAGCTAGATACCGAGTAAGGTTTTTTCCCCAAAAAGGTCATTCTCCAGTCTGAAAATAGATTGCATCGGTGCGTGTAAAGCCTATGTAAGCTTCATTTTTTTTGTTTATCTTTCCTGAGATCAGGATTGTTTTTCCATTGGATAATCGTTGTCCTGATGATCACTTATTTTTTCTTGTTCTTCCTCTTTACCCTGGTAATAAATAAACTGTTGGAGAAATGTAAGCATATCTGACAATACGCCTACATGGAACCAAAAGGGCGTATGTAGGAGACAGACAAGAAAATGAATCTATTTGATGGTCACTCTATCCGGAGAGCCGCCACCAAATTAATTTGCCAAAGGAGACATCACGTCTATCTGTTGGGGTTTGCTGTGTCCCCTCTCAGTAATAGGTGTGGGTCAAAATTTTACAGTTGCCTTGAGGTTTACAGTCTACACTTTGCAATGAGCAAGGCCACTCACCTTGCCCCAAAACCTTAAATTTGACCCTGAACTCAGCCCGTCACTACCCTAGCACAGGCTCAGCTACTAGGCTTGTGAACCTTGGCGTTGACTCTACCGTTGCTTTCTAAGATTATTACATGAAACAACCACTCATAGTTTTTGATGCTCATGTACAACGATGAATTTAACTTATTCTGCCGAGCATGTTTGGATTGTTAGATTCAATTGGATTGGATTGGAATAGAATGAAAATTTGAGATGATAAAATCTAGATGGAATAACACAACCTCATTACCTTCATTGCTTTTGGCGCCATTACATATGAGGGCATCACCTTATCATCATGGCAGCACCATCATTGGACCTTGTCAACTGGGTAATCCGTGCATAGAACTGTTTTATAGAAAGATGCCGTTTTTCACCTAGTCACATGAGCCCAAGTTCAGCCATGCAGAAGGTGCTCTTTTGGTATATAATAGCCAAAGAAGAGGCGCACCATATGACAAAATAACAAGAAATATTTGCTCCTTCAGTTTTTGACAAATGAATGATAGCCTATGCGTGATTCTTGATAATGTATTGCTCCATATATAATCTTTGTAAACGTTTCTTTCTCCCGAATCGAGGTGATAAGGGAGAAAGTGTTCATCACAATTATTATAATAAATGTGAACATGATCTGATATCGTTTTAAAGAAAGCGAAGGGTGAATTGCACACCCTTCTTCTAATGCATCCCCAAAGTATTGCTATAATCCTGTCTTCATCTAGATTATTTATATTTGATGACCTTGCTCTAAAAGATTCTTGATCTCTCATGTTAACTTGTAGTGACCTTCTTTCTCAGTCATACGATATAAGAAATAATTAACTTGTCAATTGTTTTTACAACAAGCGAATAACAATGATTATTCGACTAGAATTGTGGCTTTGATGAAATGGTTAACTTTTTGACCCCAACCCTATCCCATCCTGATCAAAGAACACGAATACGAATACGAATCTCATTCAAATAATAGCAATCCTTTTGAATTCAACAATATTAATGGTGCAGGTAACAGAGGCAAGTAGCATTAGTAAACAAACTATATAGGTCATCTACCCCCACCTTAACCATTAAGTTAACAAAACAATCGCTTTAGACCACACTCACAAAAGAGATTTATGGGTTGCATCATTTGCAAGATGATTGATTTTAGCACATCCCATTGGGAATCCAGTTGTTTTCTCTCTCTCTTCTCTTCTGTTCAATAACAGGGGCAAAAATGTAAATGGATTGGAGATTGGCACAATATATCACATCTTGCCCTCGGATTTGCTACTCTACACGATTCGCACCGTGGATGGCGCATTGCAAGATGATCTTTGAAACTATCAATTCAATTCGATTTAACTAAAGCAAATCTAGCTCTATGACTCACTTGAATTGAATCGAGCAAAATCAATTTCCTTCCAACTCCGTACAATTTAATTCTACTAATACAAACTCATCCAACTATAAGGTTAAGTTTATCTTATAAGGAAAAAAAATTAGTTTACAACATTAGAAACTTATAAAATTTAGGTAGGTGGACAAGTAGAGTGTACTAAAACTCTAAAAAAATTCGTGTTTAAAATTTTTGTGAAATGATACCATAATTTTAAAAAAAAAAAAGGTGTTCTCATTTCTTCAAATTAAAAAAATAATAGGATGACTATTATTTGTTAAAATCATAAAATACAACCAACTAAGAGGTAATTGATGTTCTAATGTAAGTTGAAATTCTAATGTAAAATTAGGTAAAATAAAGTTTAGCTTAGGTTTTTTGATATGGATTGCAAAAGACATAATCAATTTAACATTTAAAATATTGTTTCAATTTATTAAACCTGATAAAAAAAATAAAAAACTCTGCATTCTTGAAAGAGAATAGTATAGAGTATATTATCAATAATAAGATCTTTCCACAAGTAAGACGAGTTTTTTTTTTTTTCTTAATTTGTGTAAGGGTATGCCCTGGGATAAATAGAGTGAAGGTAACATTTATCTCAGTAGTATTGCTTGACATTTCACTGCGTTTCTTCTTCCAACCCTAGACTTCTCTTTTTTGTAATTAAAGTTTACTATGTAATGTAAAGGACAGAAAATATAATTGTTGATGAAATATAATAGAAAAACAATATCGCTTTGAGTTCTCTCACTTGGGTCCTTTGCTCTCTTTTCATTTCCGTTTTATAGTATAATATAGGCCCCTCTCTCTCTACCAAATCCGTAATCTGTCAGCTTCTGGTCGAGGACTCCTTGTGTTATTGTATTATTAAACTTATTAAAGTTTTGGGAGAAAGGGTATGTGTGTATGTATATCATCAATCTGAGCATGTACATGCGTGTGTGAGAAATGCAGATAGGGGCACTGGCAAAAAGCATGTTTGGCTAGAATTAATTAATTATAAGCGTTGATTCAGATTGCAGCAGGAGGTAAGTTAAAGAGTAGAGAGGAAAGAAAAAGTAAGGCTGATTCTGATAAAATGGGGTCGGAGCAGAACAGATTTCCACCGCAGCAGCAACCGCCGCCACCACGGGTATTCATTCCCCTATTCCGGATCTAGTCAATTCTTTCTTTATACACATATAGATTTCCATCAGCATTACCATCGTTTCTTCTTCATTTTTTTTTTTTTTAATTTTAATTTTTTATTTTTATATGTAGATGTTTTTGAAATTTTACCAATAATCACTTGCACACCTCCAGATTTTAGTTTTATTGTTCTCTCTCTTTTTGTCCTTCCAATGTGGGGTTCATGTACTGGCAAATGCACTCACTGTAGTGTTCGTTAAATGGGTCAGATCTAGTCTTGCCTGCTGCTCATTTTGATCCTGGCTCTTCTCTACCCTCCTTTTGTTTGATCGTTGGTGTTCTTCGCCGGATCTGATCTTGGTTGGGGACGAGCGATTTCTGAAGGAGAAATGAAGTAATGATTTTTTGTCCAGCTGCTACCAAGCTTGTCCCTTTCAGTTTTAGAGAGATACTTGGTTAACAGTATTTCTCGTGTTTTTTATTTTAAACTGAGATTTCCTCACCTGCTTGCCGGCTTCTTTTGCCTTTCTTATTTTGAAAATCTTCTCTGCTCTGCCTCGTTTGAATTTTGGCCAGCATGAATACGACTGCACGTCAGCGGGACAGATCTCAGGTGATGTGGTGATATGAATTGAAAAATGCTAATTAGCGTTTTAAGTTTTTCACTTGCCGATCTTGATCAGAGTTTAAGCTGTTCGAGGATCATAATTATGATGCTTTCTTTCGAGTATTTCCCTTTGAAATACTTAGAAGCTTTGACTTTTCACTCACTCTAGTCTAGATTGAAACAGCATAACAAACGAACCACATTATAGCTTTCCTAAGGCATCACATTTTCAGCTGACATTAACTTTAATAGATGATTACTTTTTATCCACCTGTATTAATATGAATGTTCCGTCATTTTTTCTTTTTTTTCTTTTCCTTTCCCCAATTTGTTAATCTCTCTTGTTTATTTACACAGATGCAAGTTGCAACAATAATGCACTTGCATGCATGTGCATCTTGAATTGAAAGGAGATACTGTCTAGACGATTTGACCAGTGGCAATCAGATTTGTTTGTATGGCATGTTGGGACAAAAATATTAAAAAGGTTTGATAGATATAAGTTCGTAGATAATTTTCAGAAAAAAGAGTTTGCGGATAGAAGTTGGATAGATAGATAGATAGATAGATATGTCCATCTTGGCCATGCCCTAACAAATAGGAATCACATTAAAGCCACTACCTTTTCATGGAAGGTGGTTCCCAAATTTTTTACAATTGTAACCCCAATTTTGTCCTCCAAACTCAGACGGGCTTAGCATCACCCCTTGGAATTTAAATGCAGAGATGGGTTTAACCAGCTGCTAGTTGCTTCACTTCGCAAAATTAAATCGATATGCATGGTAAGACTGAAGGTCCAATATCTTGAAATTAATTTAGAAAATCTAGTCTGACATTAAACTAAATTCCAAGTCCTCAACATACCAGTGTAGTGAACAATAATCACAACATTCAGATTAGAGCTCTTAGAGTATAATCTATTATAATCAAAGATAAAGGCTGATACAAAAAACAACCATATAACCCGGCCATGATATGTGATACCACTATAATACAGGGCAAGGCGATGAGACATATTGATGAGAGTTGGTTGTGTGTGTGATGGTGGCGCTATGTAGGTTGCCATGCCTTGGTGAGAATCTTCTGTGTATGTGAGATGATGGTGGGTGGAGCAAAGGTTTTAGCTGTCAAAAATCAGTTGTAAACATTCGTGTTCATTTAAACAAAGCCTTAATGACGTGTGAAAACAGTGCAATGCACTCGCCGCTAAACTAAAAGGATCTTTTTTGCACTTTGATCACAAGTTACATGATGTTTAGTATCATAATCAACAATGTGATTTATAACCGCTCTAAAATACAGTTGTGTTTGGGGGGGGGGTGCAATTCCTTGTTTTTGGTGCAAGGTCCGACTAGGGAATAATGCCTTGCTTGGACTCTTGGAGCCCTAATCAATTTTGATTTTGCTCGGCAAACTTGCCTTACCTTTACCCTATTGTAATAGGACATGGTGGGTGCCCCCAAAATTCAGGTTGATTATTATCATTTCTGGTGGATTGCCCATAAAATTCTGGTTGATTGCCCATAAAATTCTGGTTGATTGCCATTTTTTGGTGAAGCTGTATCACGCCATACTAGTTGTATCCAAAGATCAAAATATCGTTTCAAAACAGTCGAAAAAGTTTTCGTTTTCAAGGAGACCGAAACGAATCAGTGATGGAATTGAAATTCTAATATTTCGAGGTGTTCTATAATGTTTTGTTATATTTCAATGTATTTGCACAACTATTTCGGAATGTTTCAAGGTATTTCAAGATATTTTGGTATATTTCGACCAATGTTTTGAAAAAATAATTCTTAATTTTTTTTTTTTTAATTTTTTTTCGAAGCGAGTTGAAACGTTTCTGTTTCATAGGTGACCGAAACAATGCATCGAAACGAAATTTTGATTCTTGATTGTATCCCTCCATCATGACATAACTCGTTGATTGCCATCTATAGTAGAACATGCCACCATTGACATTAAACCAACCAAAAAGCAATCTTTGCCCTTGGTTACAATTGAAATCTTAAGGTGTTAGGTTGTAGGTTTAGAGGTGAGAAGAGGCTAGAGAAGAAAAAAAGGAGAAGAAGGAAGAGAAACAATTAAAAATTAGGGTTAAGGAGAATAAGTGTTAACCATCTCTCCCTCATCACCATATTTATATTAATTCATAATTTGACACTTATTACAAGAATTCCCTTATTTAAATTTCCTAATATTTAGTTACCGGTGGGACTAGAGTTGTCAATATGTCTGATCTTTGATCCATTTTTTAGCGTTTGAATTGTAATAGTGATATCTGATGTAATCAACTCAATTTCATATTTTGACTAAATTCAATTCAATTAAGATTTTGTTCATTGAAACATATTGTAGATATGTTTGTGTTTACATGTTAATTTGGTGTTAGGTTGTTTATGGAATTTGGATCTTCAAATTTGACTGAGATGTCATAATGTAGGATCCATAAGATTCACATTCAGCTCTGGATTAATTACCTATATTGGTATTCAATTTTGAATCTAGCTTAATTTGCATGGGTCCAACTTATGTATCAGCATACAAATGGTACTCATAATTTTTATTTTGGGACACCTTTTCTTGTGCTTTCCATTTTTATTTGGCCCTAGAACTTTTAGTGCTGATGCTGAATCTCTCTCTAACTGGAAATAGAAAACTTGTTCACGTTTGTGGTATCAAGCTTGAGGTTGGAGTTTCCTATCCTTGAATTTTGTAGTTTAAAATGGTCATCTACCTTGGAAAAACTTCAATGGTAATATTTTAATGAGGGGACTGAATTCGTTTACTGTAAGACCATGTTGACAAGACTGATTGAAGTTTTTCAAATGACCAAGCCTTTTTTGAGAAGGTGGTAGAAACTTCTGGTTACCTGCTTAATTAATGGAAATAAAGCAGTGTCACTAAGCAACCTGTTGGATTTGGCATGTATTAGATACCCTGCTTTGATTATAATAAACATTTCCAGGCCTTGATTACTTATTGACCTTCCGTTCTTACTTGTTGGCAACCAAGTTTACCTGACTCACAAGGTCTGGCTTCTCAGAAGTCCCGTGAAGTTTTTATCGGGGGATTGACTTGGTGACAAAGTGGATAAAGGGGTACACAAAGCGATCACCGTCTCTAAGTGTATAGAAAAAAAGAACTCTGAATCTACAGAGAAAAGGAAGAGAATAACTCTTGAAATATTGTATTATTGATTGATTAACTGAATAGAATTATAATAAATAAGACAATTTATAGGAAAAACCCAACATCCTAGGGTTCCCAAAAAGGAAATAAATCTCTAGCCTTAGGAAAGTTACCAAAAACAAATAAACATGTGTTTAATGAATTAAAAAAATTAACATGGTTTAAGCAACTAATTACTCTAGAATATTCTTAACTAAACCCTTATTCTAACTAAAAAAAATAAAGTAAAATAAAAATAAAAATATAAAAATCCGTAATCCTTGTTATACATCATTTAGCCTAAATGTGACTTGGAGTTTGGGATTGTTTACATGTGAACACGAAAGGTTTGGAGGAACCCTTAGTCTTGGAGTTTCATGGCTTAATGGTTTTCTAAAAGAAGAAAATAACTAAACACAGTTGAGTGATTTGCTTCCTATGTACTAATTCTATAAATATTCTCTTTTCATTTTTTGTTGAAGGACAAAGTTACACTTTTGCAATTTTCATTTCTTGTCGTGTGATCTGGTTTTGATGGACTAAATGTAACTGGCACCTATGTTCTAGAATGAATATTTTGTTATAAAATAGGGCTTGCTATTCCCAACTTGGAGAGTCTGAATTACTTACATACTTTTATATCATCATTCTCAAGTTATGTATCAAGATTCAACAGCTTTATTTTTTGTACCCTATGTGACTATGTCCTATAACATTCTATGCTCTAAGAGTTCTAAAAGCCTTAAAAATAAACTGAAGTGAATAAAATCGTGTGCAAAGTATTGACTTTGCTATTTTTAAAATTAATTTCCTTAATGATGTGGCAATTTTTGAAAACTTAAGCTAAGACAAATAGAATCTCTCTCATTCTCTCCCCTATCCCTCATGGTCTTTTGATTTGTGCATAGAGGGAAAAGCACTTGGATATATGTGGGAATGTAGTTTATCGGTGAATGCTTTAAATTCTTAAATAACCGTTTTAGATAGTCATTTATCTTTTAGAAGGGATTCCTTAAGAAGAAAGGTGTCAATAAAGTTAACAGTATTTGTTATAGCCTTAAAAATTTCGTGAGTGCTCCACTTCCTATAGGGGATCAATATTCTGGTCGACAAACAGCATTAAGCATGAAGTGAAATGAATTCATTTTTTCAGGATGTCAAAACATGCTCTTGCTGTACCATGTTGATATAGAATTGTATTGTTTTCGAAATATATCTCTTTTGTGTCAAATTCAATAGCAACAGAATCTTTGTTCACATTGTGGGAGCTGACTGTTATGTAGCAGCTCTTGTTGCAATAAATTCTGAAATCCAAAAGCAAGCTGCTTTATGGTTTTGTGCTGAAATTTGCAACGTGACAGAAGTCATTGCAGATATAGAATTTTAGGAACACTTTTTTGGAGGGTTACTATACTGATTACTTGCATGAATTTAGGTATTTGACATAACCATCTTTTTGTTGCAAGATTGATTACCCATTGGATTCGGTGTTTTTATTTTGATTTTTCTAATTTTGTATGTGGTTCTTGCATTTTATCCTATTTGGGTGCGCAATCAGGATTAAAGTTTTCATAATTGACTGCATTGACAGCGTAAGAGCTGGGGAGGATGTTGGGGTGGGCTGTCTTGTTTCGGCAAACAAAAAGGTGGAAGGCGTATTGTACCCGCATCTCGCATTCCAGAGCCGAATGCATTGGCAAATCAGCCAAATAGACCTCAAGCTGTTGTGTTGACCAATCAGACTACAACTCTAGCACCATCTCTCTTAGCTCCACCATCTTCACCTGCATCCTTCTCGAATTCAGCACTACCTTCAACAGCTCAGTCACCTAGTTGTTGTTTGTCACTGTCTGCCAATTCACCTCGAGGTCCTTCATCCACTATGTTTGCCACAGGACCATATGCTCATGAGACACAGTTGGTATCGCCTCCTGTTTACTCTACCTATACAACTGAGCCATCTACTGCTCCTCTTACACCCCCGCCTGAGTTGGCACACCTAACTACTCCCTCTTCTCCGGATGTGCCTTTCGCTCAGTTTCTTTCATCTTATATGGATCTCAAAAGCACTGAAAAGACAAATTTCATTGCTGCAAATGATCTGCAATCAACATATTCCCTTTATCCTGGAAGCCCAGCCAGTAGTCTCATATCGCCTGTTTCAAGGACCTCGGGCAACTGTTTATCGTCATCTTTTCCTGAAAGGGAGTTCCCCCCTCAATGGAATCCTTCACTTGCTTCTCAGGAGACTAAATGCTCAAGGTCTGAGTCAGGCAGGCTATTTGGGCTTGACACTGGTAGCGTCTCCAAACTGTCTCAAGACACAAATTTCTTCTGTCCTGCTACATTCGCACAATTCTATCTGGACCACTCTTCGTTTCCACACTCTGGTGGAAGATTAAGTGTTTCCAGAGAATCAGATGTTTACTCTAATGGTGGAAATGGGCATCAAAGCAAGCAGAACAGAAATTGCAAACAAGAAGTTGAGGAAATAGAAGCTTACAGAGCATCCTTTGGATTCAGTGCAGATGAAATTGTGAGTACAACTCAGTATGTGGAAATTTCGGAGGTATTGGATGACTCCTTTACAATGACACCTTTTACCTCCAATAAGCCACATGTGGAGGAAAGTATCTTGACTGCATCAGCAGATGATGGACCAGAAGCTGAGAAAACACCTATGAACTTGCCAAGTCCAGAACACTGCAAATCAGATGTAGATTACATTGGTGAGTGGGTACATCATGAAGTGCCAGGTCCATGCATTGATCTTGAAGTGAATTATCAATTAGCTTTTTTTTTGGTTGGTAAATCACATTAGAAGACAACATTGTGAAGCTAATAACAGCACTCCAATGCCAGCCTGTCATAAGTAGCGCACATTTGATGTTTTCTCCTATGGTTTTTCATCCATAATTGGAGATACATTACATGCCCTTTCTTATTTGATGCTGGTAATTTAGTCTCCTAGATCGCCTATGCAACTAGTGTTGGGATGTTGTGTGATGACTCTATGGGATGATGAAAGTTGTCCTATTATACACCCATTTATTACCATCTTAATTGCAAGTTCTATAATTGAATAATGTAGTTCTGCCATTGTGGAAGATTGAATGTGCATTTGCAGAATCTGTTTCATCTGATTCCTGGCATCTCCTCCCACTCCTGTCCTCCAGCATCTGTTTCCTGTGGGCAATAATGTTCCTTTCTTGTATAATGCAGATCATGTATCACAGAGGCAACATGGGGATATTTCTAGGCGATGTACACATGGAAACCAAATTATGAGAGATGATGACATCTTTTCTAGGATGGGAGGTTCCAGAGTTGGCAGGAAATATCCTCTTGGTTTATCAAGTTCTGATGCGGAAATTGACTATAGGAGAGGAAGAAGCTTGAGAGAATGCAAAGGAGACTTTGCATGGCATGACTAGGCATCATAGGGGAAGAAAACCGAGTTGTTTCTCTTATGTATTTGCAGGTTTATATCTTGTATGTATTTGTTGGGGGTTCTCTTTGCTAGATGATCTAACCTATGATCTCTCTCGTCTTTTGCTCCATCTGATTGATGAATGTGTTGTCTATTTGTGTCTATGTATCTACTTCTGGCGGTTCATGTTCAATATGTGAGCAGTTTAACTATATATCTGGCAAATACCAGTTTACTCGAGTGACATGTCGTATGAAACTTTATTGTGTGTTGATGCTTGTTTATACCGCATGTGGCTTTTAGCAATGTACTGGAAATATATTGTGGTGTTCGTTGAGGGCAGGATATTTGCTAATTTTCAATTGAGATGCTGTGTGGGATTGTGCCGTGTGAATCCAAAGCCTTTCAGCTGGTTCCCAACTTCATTTTATCATTTTTGTCAAATTTTCGGTGCATGTTTGAACATGGAGATCTTTTTCCTTCCTCCACGTCTCCTAGCAAACATATTTCGATTTTTTTAAAGTCATGATATTCGTGGAGTATTGATAATGATAGGTATCATCTTAGTAACAGCGAAACAATAATTTTAAGGGTAAATTGTTCAATTCCCTCGAGTTATGTCAAATCTTCACAAATGCCCCTTGATATTCGAAAAATGTTATTGGAATTTTTCTGGGAGGTTTTAATTGAGGAATGACTTATTTTTGTTTTGAAATCTTGATCAAAAATAGTAAAAATTATCAACCAAATCTTTTAGAAATTAGCTGGCTAACCGCTCACAACTCGACAATGATATGTGTGCGGGTGATTCCTTGTATAATGATGAGGTAATAGCGTAGCACTTTGGTAGTTACTCAAAGATAGCTTTGTCGTGTGAGGATAATGATAGACTTGAGGCTCACATAAAAATATGTTTGAAAGGAAGTTAGAGATGTTTATGACGATTTTTCTTCGATACTTAAGTTAGTTTTTCAAGAGTTAAAATGTTGAGCATATTTATACTTTCTTGATAGATAGACTTCCCTATCGAGGGAACCTTGTATAATTCTCTTTGGTGAGAGGCTCTCTCATTGGTTATTTCATAGGACAACAAAGATGTCTTATCGACCTTATTAGGAGTCAGGATATCAAGTTGGATTTTTCTTTTGATCTCGATCCGTGATCCTTTGCTTCAAAAGACGCGCATTGATGACATTAATCTTTTGACTTTTGAGTTTTTGTCAATTGTTAATTAAAAGATATGATGTTGGAGATCTTCTCATGTGGTAATAAATTTTTTGGTGCCATTTGGCATGCTGAGGAATAAATGTTTTGTCTCTATTCACTTCCGTGCCTTAATTATTTGTCGTAAGCTCATGAAGAGTATTTATTGCCAACTGTAATAATCTCAAGGCCTCTCCATGATTGGTTGCAGTGTATCACCGTGTCTATTTTGACACAATGGGGTAATGGATCCACGTTTGTTGAGAGTTCAATACTTATTCTCATAAATTGTATTCTTCATTTATTATCAAGTGAACATTCCCAATATATTTCAACGAACCAAGCCTACTGAGTGACGTCACACTTGGACGAATGACATCACCTCTGGGAGGCTTTCTACCAAGTGAAGTCACATGCACTCAAATGATACAACCACCTGAAAGAACATTCACCGATCATTATTATAACTTCTCTCCCGAGTGACTCTTTTTTTATGGAATTAAATTCTTATAGACAAGCCTATAAACTAATTATTTACAGATGAGTTATATAAACACATAAATTAACGATGATGATTTTTAATGACTTTGTGTTCCTTGTCAATTTTGATTGAGAATCTATAAATAATTTGTTTATGGACTGTCTTTAAAAAATCTATTCTCTTATGAATATAGTTTTGTTACTCACAGAAGAAGAACGGAAAAGCCGTCGGCCCTTCGTATGGCTTTTTTCTCTACCGTAACCACATATGCATAAGTAGGTAAGGTTCAGAGCCGCATGTTATAGAGGAGGATCTCTTCTCTTCTATTCCCACACTTGTCACTGATGAGGATAATCAAATGCTTACTGCTCCTGCTACCTTAGAAGAACTGAAAGGGATTATCTTTTCTATGTCTATCCACAGTGCTCCAGGACCGGATGGGTTTTCAGGTAACTTTTTCCAATGCTCCTGGAGCATTATTAAGAGTGACTTGTTGGAGGCAGTTAACTGCTTTCTGCAGGGAGGGGAGATCCCTAGATCTGTCAATGCCACCCTAATGTCTCTTATCCCTAAAACAGAGAATCCTTCCACTTTCTCTGATTTTAGGCTAATCAGTTTATGCAACTTTTTATATAAAATTTTCACAAAGTTATTGTCTTCAAGGTTGGGTTCTCTTTTGCCTAAACTCATTTCGGAGGAGCAGCAAGGCTTTGTAAAGGGAAGAAATAGTGGGGATAGTATTGCTCTAGCTCAGTTGATGGTAAATGAGCTGGATAGAAAGGTAGAAGCTGGAAACATTATAGTTAAACTTGATATGATGAAGTCTTTTGATAGAATGGAGTGGGATTTTTTTGAAGCAAACTCTTAAAAGTTTGGGTTCTCTGATAATTTTGTGCTAATCATTTCTAACTGTTTAAGAAATGAAAATGTTTCCTTAGTTATTAATGGTGTTAGGCATGGCTTTTTTCCTAGTTCTAGAGGCTTAAGACATGGTGATCCACTGTCTTCAAGTTTATTCATTCTTGCTGAAGAAGTATTAAGCAGAGGGCTTAAGAAACAATACCAGCAGGGTTTAATTCAAAGCTTTCACACTGGAAGAGGTTCTATTATGCTTAGTCATATGTTGTTCGTGGATGATACACTTGTTTTCTTGAAAGGAAATAAGAGGTCAATGACTAATTTACTAAAATTTGTGGGAAGGTATGAAGCATCATCTGGGCAAAAAGTAAACAAACAGAAGAGTTCTCTTTATTGTTCCTCAAGAATCACTCCAGCAAGAAGGTCTATGTTGTCTCGTGTTGCAAATATACCTTCTAAGTCTTGTCCATTCACCTATTTAGGATGTCCTATTATTAAAGGGAGAGTTAAGCTTTGTCATTTTGAAAACCTTCTTCAAAAATTTCAAGTCAGATTATTTTGGATGGTATGCCAAGCTTCTTTCTAATATGGGGAGAATTGTGCTAATCAAGTTAGTTTTGTCCTCAATCCCAATTAATCTCTTAGCTTCTCTGAATCTTCCCAAGGGGATTATTTCCAATATTAATGGCTTCTTTTCTTTGGTCTGGTAAGTTGGAGGTTAGAAAGAGGCACTGGTGCTCTTGGAAAAATATCACACTGCCTAAGGAGGAGGGAGGTTTAGGCATCAGGAAATTTGAGGAGTGCAGCATTCTTTTCGTTTGAAACAAATTTGGAATTTAATGAATGGAACTTCTCTGGGGCTACCTTCTTTTCTGCTAAGTTCCTTAGCAACCAGCATCTGCTAAGATACTCAAAAAATCATCACTCTAGGTGCTTTTCAAGACTGCAACCATGGTTTGAATTGGTGGTTTGTAACACTCAGAAGATAGTGGGTTCTGGCTCTTTGGTGGATTTTTGGTGTGATAATTGGATTGGAACTGGTCCACTCATTTTAAGGAATTCTACTGTACCGACAGTTTTTCCTTTGCTATCTCAAGTTCTGAATAATGGGAGTTGGGAATTACAGGAGATTCAACATGAATTGGACAATTATCTTATACAGGAGGTCTTGTCTACTAATGTCTGCCTCTCTGATAAACTGGTCTGGAAGCCTTCTCCGCTGGGGAATTTTTCTATTAAAACTGCTTGGGGTCTGATTAAAAGTTAGGGGCAGCCTAATGACCTAGCTGCTTTAATCTAGAAGCAGCCATCCCCGCCAAGTGCCCAACTTTTAGGATGGAGAATCTTAAAAGACTCTCTGCCTATGGATTCAGCTTTTCAGAATGTGGGTGTTTCCTTAGCAAGTAGATGTGTTCTGTGTTATAGTGAAGCTGAATCTCCTTCTCATCTCTTTATTGATTGTCAGTATGCCACAGTATTATGGAGAAAGTTGTTTGCTTTATTGGGTTTTCAGTTGTTCCCTAATGAATATCCTCTCACAAGGTTTAAAAAGGTTGGTTCGAATCTTTAAGAGGCAGTCCCTATTTCATTCATCGCTGAGAGGTCTTTCTCTAATTGTATTTTGGCAGTTATGAAAGGAGAGGTGTAGAAGATTATTTGATAACTAGAGGCAGAACTCCCATTCAGTTTTTCTCTCTATTATGCATCACTGGTGGATGCAAGCTCATACCATTAGGCCGAATACCAAGTAATCAGTCCCTTCTTCTCTCTCTTAATGTTTTCTCACCAGGTTCAGTCAGCACACAGGTAAGATGGATTTGCTGGAAAATGCCTCCACAAGGAGTTTTGAAGCTAAATATTGATGGGGCTTTTAAAGGTAACCCAAGTCTGTCTGGAGGAGGGGTGATTCTACAAAATAGTTTGGTGCAATTGATCCTAGTTGGTTCCTATTTTATAACATATGCACCAATATGGAGGTAGAATTTAGAGCATTATAGGATGGGTTGTGTCTATTGCTTGAATTTGGGTTAGAAGTTTATCCAGTCATCATAGTCATAGAGTCTGTTTCAAAGATCCTTGTGGATATGATACAACAAAATCATGTCCCTTTCTGGAAATATTGGAATCTAGCTAGCCTAATCTCTTCCTACATGGGGAGATTTAATTTCAAAATACAACACTCTTACAGGGAAGGAAGCTCAATTGCAGATTCTTTAGCTAACAAATGAGTTATGACAGAGGCTGCTCCACCTACACTTCCACTGCTAATCTTCCACTAAAGACTAAGCTACTCCTACTGCAAGACCAACGTCAGATTCGTTCCATACGCTCTAAGATTAGGTGTTTACAAAAATAATTCATGTAGGCAGATCGGAGCTACATTCATCTTTAGTCAAACAGTGTTCACTCTGGCCTCTACTTCTGCAGATCTACTGGACTAGTTATTGTCCAGCCTGCACTGGAGTCTCTTAGTTGCTGCTCTCAGCTCAATCGGCTTAGCACAGACAACTATTCCCAGCTCAAGACAACAGCTGCTCGTAATTAATGCAGCTGCTTCTCTCAACTCCTCTCAGTATTGCTTTTAGCTCACTTCAGCCCGTTTCATTATTTCATTAGGCAGTGTGCTTGATTTTATTTTAATTTTCAATTCCTTGTATTAAGCATGCATTTTTGCCTATTTATTTTACTAATTTCTATATATTTAGATTGTATCGAGGGTAAGGTACATACGTCCCCTGACTAAATATAATTTATTTTTTTAATCAATAAAATCTTTATCGCACGGTCAAAGTTCCACCAAAAAAAAAATAAATAAGTAGGTAAGATAATGGGTCAATTCGTCAACTTGAATTAACGTGTTTGAATTTTTAACCTCGTCCTCCTTCCTTTTGATTCCAAGTCAAAGTCTAGTCTTTCCACTCCTTCGTCGTCGCCCCTAAAATCATGAACAAAGGAGTTAATTTTTTTTTATTTCGATCTCGACACTGACTCACCTCCTCTCATCTATAGACTATATACGGTTTAGGGGGGGGGGGGGGGGGGGGAGAAGAATGTCTTTGTTTGCCTCTGGTTATCGTCTTGTTTCGATTTCTAAATTTTGTTTTGTTTGAGGTTCCTCGGCCATGGGCGGCTTCCTTTTATTAATAGTGGTGGTGCTGGTGGCGATGCTGCAATTTCATCAATTGCAGGGGCAGCAGAGCTACGTGAACAACACACAGTTGGACTGCGATTATAACTACAACAACACCCTGGGATACGTGTGCAATGGAGCAGCCTCATCATGTCCCTCCTACCTCACCTTCCGATCCAATCCACCCTACAACACCCCTCTCCTCATCGGTTTACTTCTCAATGCCAACGCCTCCGAAATCGCCCGTCTCAACAACATCCCCCGCTTCGCTACCATCCCCTCCGGCACTCTCCTCGTTGTGCCCATCAATTGCTCCTGCACTACTACTACTATTTCCCGGTTCTACCAGCATAACGCATCTTACATCTTGAATACCTCCGACACTTATTTCACCGTGGCCAACAACTCCTATCAGGGCCTCACCACTTGCCAGTCCCTCAAAGCTCAGAACCCCTTCAATTATCGACATCTCTTACCTGGTCAGACACTCAAAATTCCCCTGCGGTGCGCTTGCCCAACTTCCAACCAGACCGCCGCCGGGATCAAGTACCTCCTCACTTACCTCGTCGTCTGGACCAACTCCGTTGAATTGATCGGTCAAGCCTTCGGCGGTGTCGACGTCCAAAGCATTAACGACGCAAACGAGCTCACTTCCAAGGATCTTATTTTCCCTTCACCCCACTCCTAGTTCCCCTGAAATCAAAACCCACCAACATCAACTTCTCCATCTCTCCTCCGCCCACTCCACCTTCGCCTCCTGAATTGCCCGCTGTCCCCGTTGGTGAGGGCAATTCTTCCCGGAAGTGGGTTTTCGTCGGCGTTGGAGTTGGGGCCGCTTTGCTGTTACTCGTCCCGGTTTCTGGATTTCTGGTTTGTTTTTTTCGCCGCCGCCGCCGCCAATCCCCACAAGACAATCCTCAGAGTCCGACTAATGATCTCGCCGAATTCACGGCCCAGCCTGAGAGCAAATCGTGGACTGTCTCATCTGAAGGCGTTCGAAATGCAATTGAATCACTGACGGTGTACAAGTTCGAGGACTTGCAAGGAGCCACAGGGTTCTTCGCAGAAGCCAACAGAATAAAGGGATCTGTGTATCTGGGTTCTTTCAAAGGGGATGATGCTGCCATAAAGATGATTGAGGGGGATGTTTCTGGAGAGATCAACATACTGAAGCAGATCAACCATTCCAGCATAATCCGGCTATCTGGTTTCTGCGTCCACGAGGGCAACACCTACCTTGTTTATGAATACGCGGAAAAAGGGTCTCTCAGTGATTGGCTACACCTGAAGAGCTGTCAGACTTCGTCTTCAACTCTGAGCTGGAAGCACAGGATTCAAATTGCCTATGATGCCGCAGACGCCATCAATTATCTGCACAACTATTCCAATCCCCCTTACATCCATAAGAACTTGAAGAGCAGCAACATCCTCCTGGATGGTAACATGAGGGCTAAGGTCGCAAATTTTGGGCTGGCAAGGACCCTGACGGAAGATCAAGACCAAGGTGGCCTACAACTGACGAGGCATGTGGTAGGCACTCATGGTTATATGGCTCCTGAGTATATTGAGAATGGGTTGGTTACGGCAAAACTCGATGTGTTTGCATTTGGTGTGGTGATATTGGAGCTCTTGTCCGGGAGGGAAGCCTCAACCAACCGGGGAGTTGGTGGTGGCGACAAGAACGTAGAAGAGGAATTGCTCTCTGCCACCATCAATCAAGTGCTTGGAACAGAGAATGTGAGGGAGAGACTAAGAGGTTTCATTGATCCTCGCCTGGGGCAGGAAGAATACCCGCTGGAGTTGGCCTACTCTTTGGCCCAGCTGGCTAGGGCCTGCGTGGCTCGTGACCTTAACTCTCGTCCCACCATGCCCGAGGTTTTGATGACCCTTTCTAAGATTCTCTCCTCTTCTTTGGACTGGGATCCATCTGAGGAACTTGATTATTCAAGATCACTAAGCCATAGCAGATGGAATTCCGCATTCCTGAATTTGACACCGGATGAACATTATGTAAACAAATAAGGTACTACCAGGCAGCAACAAGTATTTTGATGTACCGAGTGGCTGAAGATTATATAGTGTTTTTATGCGTACAAGACACTATGCGATCGAGGTTCAATACATTGATTACCCCCCCCCCCCCCCCTTCTTTTCTGCACAGTGCATGTCCATTTGCTCAAATTTATCAAAAACACAAGAGGCAGTCTTCTGCCAGGTAGGTAGTTCTCTAGCAACTTAATCTTCCTTGGTTCTCAGCAAAAATAAAAAAAATCTCCCTTGGTTGCTAGTTCGTTTGCATGGCCAGAAGCATTTTTAGCTTGCATCTGCTAAGTCTGAACCTTATCCACAGATAGAGAGTGTCTGAGGAATTAAAGACGCAATGGGCCAATTCACACAGACCTCAGCCATTTTGAAGTGAAATATATGTAACAGAAGAAATGCAGCCAAATCCTGGCTTAAAAGCTACTCCAGTATGGGAAAAGGCACGTCCCGTGCACTTCTAATGCCCCTATGTAGAGATGCAGTGGAAACTAACCTAACCATTTTATCCTGTTTGTAAAAGCCATCAGTGCAAGGCAACACCTGCTGCTTTCATCGCACGGAAAAAAAGTACCTCTGTTCTGTTGTTGGAGTCAATATCCTACCCACACCAGACAACATTCCTTGCTTTTGTTTTTCCATTTGATTCACCATAACAGGCCCATCATTAATAGCTTCCCAGCTTTACAAAGCCCTCATCCAGAACATGGTGACATGTTTCGATTAGTCAAAAAAACAAAAATGTTTTAAAAATATTTTAGGAACGCAAGAAAACGACACATTTTCATATAAACAAATGAAAACCTTCGAAATAAGTTGTAGTTACATTAGCAAGTTCTTGTTTTGTTTTTAACAACAAAATAAACCAAGTAACCAAAAATCTAATAGACAGTAAACTATTGTGGTTGGACCTATTAAATGTTCATGTAAATTCCAACATGAGATCCGAAAAATGCAATATTGGACATGATTGATATTGAATCATCTTTCATACAAAAACTTAGAACATTCATTCATGCCATAGCGTAACAATATTAATGTAAAGAATGGATTTTTTATAAACTTTTTGCTTTCCAACGGGGAGTATCCTATTGCATAGAGGAGTTTGGGTTTGGTCTACGATTATGTTTTGTATTCATTTCTTTAAAATTTTATGCAACTAAAGAAAAAAATATTGCATATCAAGCATTTCAAAAGAAAATAACGAAATGTTTCAAATTTTTTATTAAAAATGCTAAATCATATAAAAACTCTCTTTATATTTCATTTGTCACTCATCAAATACCAAAACGTTTCGTATGTTTTGAATGAAACGAAAAGAAATTTAAGACCATGATCCAGACTTATAACAAATGTTGTCATACACAGGCTCGCTGCCAAATAAAACACATGAACGAGAAAGCAATGAGCATATAACGCCACTCACTTGGGTAAATTTGTGACTCATCTATTAGCACAACAAAATAAAGGTTAAATTTGAATTGTTTTCATACTGATTTTAAATAATATATTTTTCCTGATTTGTTTTAAAATCTCTTTTCATGAATGGATGGCTGGGTTCCATAGTGATGATGGCTTGGAGTGGGCTTGGTGGTTGTTTGGGGCAGATTATACAATGGTAGAGTAGGTTCACGGTGTGTGTTCATATCATGGTGGTGTGGATTCGTGTAGCAATATAACATCCCGGTGTGGCTGTGCTTGTAGGTACTACGAGGCGGGTTGTGTTATGGTGGATCAATAGATGGATGCATTGGTTACTAACATTTGGTTGAAGGGGGTTATGTTATGATAAGCCTTAACCTCAAGGGATCCCCACATAACTCTGGTTGGTTTTTCTCGGGTTGAGGATCTCATCCCAGGCTCGGACGGCTATGGGTTCGTTTGGCACCAAGCAGGTCAAGCGCCTTGTGTACTGTAGTGTACTTTGCTTCCATTTGATTCATGAAGCTCATTGTGTATTCAGGTGTCTCCATCTAGGTAGCCCTTCAACTAAACAAAACAGTGTCTTTACGTTGACACAAGTCAAATTGATCCAAACATTAATTGCCATCTCACTGCATTCTCCATCATGAATTCATGATCTATTCTTAATACACAAGGCAATCGGTATCCATACACCACCACTCTCTTCCTAACACACATTTACAGTTTAAAACTTGTGCCTGTCCATATTATCACACCACATTTCTGGTATATTATGCTTCATGAATCATGAATACAATTTAAAAAAGGAGTAATTAAACTGCCGATCTCCCTTTGGCTACTTCGCTCTGGATAACATACCTAAAGCCTGAACTCTGAGGTAACCAATAGATGTATTTCTCAGGTCTGCCCTTCATGCATCTTCTGATAGCTTTCTGTTGAACTTCTGATAGACACCCATCAACTATTTCTAAAAGCTCAGGCATACTCAGTGACATATCCTTCGCATAATAGCAGAGGATTTTTGGCAGGCATATTTTTGTTTCCTTCTGGATGTAGACACTAGCTCGTATCAACTCTTCTTTAGCAAGTTTGAGGTCCTGAAATACACTCCTTGCTGTGTAGACTCGAACCTACATCCATTGAATTGAGCTGTCATTTCAGATTATATCCCCAGTCCCAACAGGGGAAAAAAAAAACATGAAAATTATCATGACTATAAACTACAACTCCTGCAACTAACTTAGAAGTATACCCCTGAACAAAGTGCAAAATGAACAAGTGGCTCAGGGTATTCAATGGCATAAGGATGTCTGTTGCTTCCTGTCTTTAACATCTTTCCTGGAGACAGCAGTGTTTGTAGCCACTGCATTCACGACGTGTTAGCCAAGTTATAGCACAACTATTTTTCAATAATAAAAACATACGTTTCAATGAACTTGCAGGTTAGGTTCATTCTTTCATTTCCATTTCTTGACTTTTACAATCATTTATTTAATTTTTTTTACAATCATTTATTTAATTTCTTTTACAATCATTTAATTATTATTTAGGTTTAACTAATTTTTTTACAGCCATTCCCCACTATTATACAGTTGCATACCTCAGCCCTACGTAATTCTCATATACTTCCTTCCTAAATCTCTAAAAGGTCACTAGACACCATAAGAACTGGAGTCTAATGCCGTGTTATGAGCAGAAGTGAGGAGCTCAACAAAAGCTTGGTAGGTAGGGCTGTTAATCAAATTGAGATACTCGAGCTTGGCTTAGGTTTGACTTGTTCAGGCTCGGTCCGTTTTCTAAACGAGCTCAAATTTGAACAAGTTTTTAAGCTCGTTTAGAAAACAAGCCCTACAAGCTCGGTTCAAACTCGACAAGCTCGACTTGTTTTTGTGCAAATACTCGGACTCAACTCAGGTGCGACTTGTTTTGAGCTAGTTCAGGCTCGGTTTGTTTTCTAAACGAGCCAAACTTAAACAATTTTTTAAATTCGATTAAGAAACAAGTTTTTCAAGTTCGGCTCGTCTGACTAACAGCCCTATGGTAGGAAACATGGATACTTGACGGGGTTTGCCGTGGCAGTGTCGTACGCATATCGGACACAGGTAAGCGTCTACGACGGTTGGACACGTATCCAATACTTTCAAAAGTATCCTAAACAATGGAGAAACCTTTGTCGTGATAGGATATGTCTTAGATACGTGGGGATATAGCGTAATAAGGGGATAATTCCAAAAGCTTCGATGTTCGATCGTTTCGTTCCGTGCACAATAGTTCATATTCGCAGCGCAGTCCTTATTCGCAACACAGAGAGAGAGAGAGAAAATGACTCCACCAGATCTATTTCGGCAACCAAAAGCTTTCGATCGAACTCGAATCTCTCCGCCAGATTTGCTTCGGCAACAATGAGAAGAAGAAGGAGATCCGTTGTACTGTGAATCCCTCTCCAAATATGGTGCTTGTGAACTGTGATCGAACTCAAACGAACATCTACTACTCGTTGCTTGATCAATAGAAAGAGAAGACGATTCCCAGTTTGTTTTCTTCTTTTTTTTGGGCGGCTTTTTTACTTTAATAATTTTGCTATTTAGGTTTAGATAAATCTTTTTTTTTTTTTTGGGTTTTGTTATCTGGATTTTTTTACAATCATTTAATTATTATTTAGGTTTAACTATTTTTTTTACAGCCATTCCCCAAAATTATACAGTTGCATACCTCAACCCTAATTTTCAACTGAGAACGTAATTCTCATATACTTCCTAAATCTCTAAAAGGTCACCAGACATCATAAGGCCTGGATTCTAATGCTGTGTTATGAGCACAAGTGAGAAGCTCGGCACAAGCTTGGTAGTTATTTGACAGCATGCTGCAGCACAGTCCTAGCAAGCGGCAATGCCACTTATCACTTTGAGCATGCAACCTACCTGTAAGGATGCTTCAGCCTGTCCACAGAAAGCCTACGTGACCCCACTGATTTGGTCATTCGTGGAGTCACCTCTTGGTTCCTGGAACTGGGTTACCTGGCAAGCCCTATTGCAAGAGCTGGAGCTGATCTGAATGTGCAAGTTGTAGTTTCAAATTTTAGTTGGTCCAAACTGCCTCCAGAGCATCTATGTATGTTCACATATGGTATACTTGCCAAATAGGATTGCTTTGGCTAAAGATCTCACATATGCATATAATTTGTTCTCATACTCAAGGATCAAAATTTCGTTTCGAAGTACCGTTTCGGTCAACTCAAAAATAGAAACGTTTCGGAAACATTTCAGAAACGCAGAAAAAATATGGAAACGCATAGAAACACAAATGCAATCCATTAATTTATAAAGATATGCTAAATAATTTATTAATTCAACATATTTATTAGGTTAACATCAATTTATACAAGAATAAATTTAAATTTGAGGGAAAAAAAGGCTTGACTTGAGGCGAAAGTCACTTAAATTAGTTTCAAACACTTAATTTTTATGAAATAAACACATTTTTACATAATATTAAGGTCTTATAATACACATGAAATGCTAATGAGTACATACTTATATGGTTACATCCATTCCCCTGTGGAGTGTCGAGTAGGCTCATACATCGGTGTAGGCTCTGGGTAGCTACTTAGAGAAACTCCATATGTGACATAAATATGATGACAATAGTTACTCCAAATCATATTATTACGGTAATATAATCCAATTAATAATACTATTTTATTATAATACTAATAATGAAGGGTATCAAATTAAATTAATGATACTTATGTATACTTAAAAATTAAATGTAATTGCAGTGGGTATTAAATGTAATTACAGTAGGTATTAAATGTAATTACAGTAGGGTATTAAATGTAATTGTTAATACTTATAACAAAAAAAAAAAAAGCAAAAAACTTGCACAGCAGTGAGGTATTAAATATAATTACAGTATTTATTAAATATAATTATAATGGGTATTAAATATAATTATAATAGGGTATTAAGTGTAATTATTTATTCTTATAACAAAAAAATTATAAAAGACAGAAGAGCAGTGGAAATTAAATGTAATTATAGTGGGCTATTAAATATAATTATAGTGAGTATTAAATGTAATTACAGTGGGTATTAAATGTAATTATAATGGGGTATTAAATGTAATTATTCATAATGAACCGAATATATCACTGTTTTGTCGAAACGGTCCGAAACAATGCCGTTTCGACCGAAACGGTCCGAAACAGTACCGTTTCGACCGAAACATTGGAATTTTGTGATTCAACTACTGTTTCATTTCGGAGTGTTGAAATTCCGAAACGTTTCGGACGTTTCAGACGTGTCGACACGACATTTTGATCCTTGCTCATACTAACATATGTCAACCTTTTTCTGCTACTTCAAATTAAAAGAAATGTACAAATACTGAGAAGAGAGAAAAATAAATAGTTGGAGTCTGATATTTTGGGTAAGAGATTTCAAGGGATAGAGAAAAACATATTTCATTCCTCAGTTCCCGCATGAAACATAAAGATATGAAGACACACAAAAGTAATAGGCATACCGGGGCTGGATAGTGTGGTCGGATTTCCAAAATGCAGCTTTGTATGACATAAGCATTTATGCAATGTCCACCCACATTATAAGCTGCCTGGAAGATGAGTTTGTACATGCTACAATCATATTTCGTGATTAAAACATTCTGATGGTTTCTGGAAACAAGTTTATATACATGTTTTTACCTTCAGTATGGAGGTTCTCCTGACATAATTGTGAGTTCCATATGCTAGATATGCCTGTAACAGAAATCTCTTAAGGCATGTACAATCCAATGTTCACCAAAAGGGACAGCAAAGAATAGTTAGATAAAAAGAAGCCTTTACTCAGTGTTGGCCCTGCTTGTGTGTGATGCAATAAAAATGATATTTCACACACCCTGCAGTGCATTATTTGCACATAATAGCAGTCCTTGGATTACACCCTTCACAGCCCAGGGCTTTACTATTGCCCTAATGAATATAGGCCCCTCAACACTACTTTGCTCCCACGAACAATAGCACCTATAATGTAGGTACCATAGAGTAGAAGGCCCAAGTAATTGCAATCTGAGGCTTAGTTGACTAAAGGTGAACATACGCAAAAATAGGCCCCTTGGTCGACCTTTAACATATGCATAATGCAAAGACGTTTGCATTAGGTATTACTACTAGGCTAATAAGGAAACACAAGTTTTGAATGCATACATGCATCACCAAGGCATTGTGAATGTTGATCCAGAACGCAAGCTTCTCTTCACGCTTCATCTTCCTTGGGTCAATTTTCTCCAGACTTTTGACCAATATCCTACACAAATTTGAAATTAAGACAATGAGAACTTCTAGAAAGATACAGTATTCTTTGTCTAAAAAACAAGTGATGCAGTTTTTTTAACAACATTTAAGTTTTCCGTCTTTTTCCGACATCCAACAGACTGTTTGTCTTTTGTGCAGTTTTGGCCAGCCTAAATGAGCTGGATACAATTTTATATAGAGAAAGAACAAACGTACAAGTTTGGTTAAATTCAATGCTTCAAACAACAGATGGGGAAAAATACACATTCACACTGGGTCGGCCCAATACTCGGTTTACCAAATAGCAATTATCTTTTTTCGTATTGAGCCTATATTCATAGGATGGGCAAAAGAAAGAAATATGTTTAAGAGTGCAGCATCTATTATTACAAGATAGCATTGCAGGTTGTATTATGTGGCTGGTTAAATAAGGATTACCTGCAACTTTGTAGCATTCTAGCAGCATAATTGAAACTATCATCATCTAAGCATATCTTTAGAACCTCTACAATTGCAGCATATGGTCCACTCTCTTTCAATCCTTGAAATTGACAATGGCCTGTAGCTTCCTCATTGCAACGAGGACTCCAGATATCAGAACGATTTTGGGGAGACAATGTACATGAGGAAGACAAGGATGAAGAAGAAGAAACTGAAAACCCTGTACGAGTCAGAGTGGGGTTGGCAAGTTTGCAGTAAATGGAAGACATGCATCTGAAGATGTCTTCAGAGAGTCTGTCAGGACTTTTAAGAGCATCATCAAAGCAAGAAGCGCCAAGGTGATCTGCGAGGCTACAATGGCCAGGATCAGCATTTTCCGTATCCTGCAATTGTTCATCAGAGGCATTTGTTTCAATTGGCTGAATGCTCTCAGGAAGTACAGAACCCAAATAGGCATTTAATTGTGGTAACAACACAATTAGATGAACATGCTAAAATATGTAGATAAGCCATCTGCAATTAACATATTTAGGTGGGGAGGCATTAACCCTTCTAGATGATGATTTCGTAGAAGCAGCATCACTCTGATCATCTGAACAAGTCAAACCTTGTGCAGGGAAAATTCGATTATAATGGTCAGTGCCACCTTTCCACATGTTAGATTCCATCTTGTAACATAGATGAGTAGTTGTAGTTTGTAGAGGCGATCCCATCTTACAATGTAATTGGGTTCCATAGTTCTCCAATGTGTTAGGGAAATGCTGTTCCAAAGCTGTCCGGTACAGTGAAAGAAGATACCGTTCCAAGTGCATTATTTCAACCTCGAGAGTGGCAATCTCCTTCATCAGCTCTGCAGAAGACTGCATTCCACAGCCAAAGGATTGGAAATAAGGCAATCTAAAGTCCACCAAGCGAAAATAGATAACAAAAAAATAAAAACCAGAAGCAATGCTTCTTGCATATTGCCATATGTAAATTATGTCACTCTCTATATATTAATCCAATTAGGCAATTACATGACAGAACATACAAATTGAGGCAGGTTGACTACACTATATTACTATTTGGATGACTTTGAAATCAGCAATCTTGCCTATAATTCAATTGGAGTAGAATCAAAAATCACAGAAAATTTTGGTCAATTATTTGATTTTAACTTCACAAGATGCAATATAAATGTTTTTATCTAAACAACGATGGAATTAGAATCCTTTTAAGGTAGTTTCACAAATTTTGAGCACAAGTCAGGTTCAAACATTTATTTGAGTTATGTGGGTATTCAAAATTTGTAGTTGAAGTCCTTAGCAAATCTATAATCAAACCAATTGTGAGTTTGTCAAAGCTTTGAATAGCTGAATTGACCCCTTATTAAGATAAGAGTTAAGACATTCATAATGATAATCAGTTAAAAAGAAGCATCCATCAAAAAACTTACTGAAGAATATCACAGTTAAAACTCCAAAACAAGAATAAGGAGCAACATGTCTAAATGTGATCTCTGTTGGATCAAGAAATGGAGGGAGCATTGAATTGTTCAAGAAAAAAGGCAGCCCAATGAACAAGGCTCCCTCTATTGTGGTGTCAAGGGAGTCAGACGTAAGCAATCTTCTCCCGCATGTGGAAAGATTGGTTCCATGACTAGACCCCCTGACAATTAGGACACAATGGAAAAAACTTATTATTGCATCAAGACCTCTCGGATGCTTGGAAAACCTTTGGAAGAAGGGTTTTCTTTTTTTGGTCATGAAAAAGAAAATTACATAGACTGAAAAGGGGAAATAGAAAAAACGTGGGCATTGGATAAACCAGCCTATGCCTTCCCTTACCTCCACCTGGATCATTTCCAGTAGGAGACAAGGTAGGTTGCTTGCCCATTGGGAAGGGAGAGAGCCTCTCTATGCTTGTGTCGCTATCCAGTGGGCGATTTGATTGCCTACCCTCTTGACAGCTGTGAGCTTGGAATTGGGAAATTGCCTCACGGAAAGCAATGTCCTGTTGGGTGACCTCGATTTCCCTGATGTTGGCTCCTCGTGATCCATCTAGGGAGTTGATCAGTTGCTTTGAGTCAGATTCCAAGAAGATATCTTGGAAGCCCCAGAATACAGCAACCTGAATGCTCTTCTAGCAGCCTCTGCTTTCACAGCCAATGGAGATGATGCAAGCATAGTTTCTGCTAAACCAGCAATCATAGCTATAGTGTGGTCTCTGGCTATGACCCCATATGCACATTTCTTCGTTTTTACTAGGAAAGAACCATCACAATTGATCTTAACCGTTCCTGGAGGAGGAGGCTCCCATCTGACCAAGGGTTCCTGTGTACTCGGTCTATCCTTGTGCTGAGAGGAAGTTTCTGAGGATTGCTGATAGAGCTTGATTGATAGTTATTCGGGGAATTGGGGTTTGTCTCTTATAGATGTATTCACTTCTTGCCTTCTAGATGAACCATAGCAGCTGAGCTAATAGGCTTTGACCATCCCATTCTCCTTGGCCTATCTCTTCTGTATCTGCTCCATAAACCAACCCTCAACACGAGTGATGCGAAATCTATTTATGGTTATCTGTAATAGAGAAATTTTCCATGTCTCCTGAACCCAAGGGCGCAGGTGGAATAAGTGCTCACTGGTTTTTGCTTCCCCCCCCCCCCCTTTGCATAGTGGGCACATTGGGGAGTTTAAGACTTTTTTTCTCCACAGATTTTGTCTTGTTGCCAAAGAGTTGCCCGCCCAATCGTCATATGAACATTTGTATCTTTGGTGGAGCTTTTAGGTTCCTGTTGCTCCAAAATCTGTTGGGATTGACAGAAATGTCCAAAGTGACTAACAGTTTTCAAGCAATTGTTTGGAATAGGTTCAATTGTCTTGTTTCAGGACTTCCTTGAATGAAAACAATGGATATTCTCATTGTGCAAAGAAGAAATTAAAGCAAAGAACTAATAAAAGGCAATCCTTTTATTAATCCAATCGAAAAAACTTCGGTTACAAAAGACTGAATGAAACAGTCTTAATTACAGCATTAACTACTCCTAAACTAAGCCTAAAAACTACTCCTAATAATGCCCAAATCGTGAGTTTTTTTAGGGGTTTGAACGAGTCTCCTCTTCTACACTGCATGCCCTTTTTATAGTCATCTTCATCGACAGTTTCCTCTCTATCGACGGTTACCTAATGGTAACTCCAAATTAGTTACCTCATTCTTTTCAAATGTGGTTGTGACTGATCATCTCTCGTCTTTCTTCAACTTCTGCTACGTAAGCTTAGCAAATCTGGAATGTCATGTGACAATACATTGAATATTCTCGGGATTTTATATTTTAGGCCCAAACTGCCCCCCTCATTTATTTGGGCTTTGAACAATAACTCAGATAAATGAACAGCTGTAACCATTTAGCTTCTGAACACCTGTTTAAAGGTTTGACCATTACATTGTTCACTTTACCCTACCTTTATCATCTTTTCCTTACATCCAATGTTATTTCTTACTTTTTTAATTTCCTCAAATGACATCTAAACGAAAGATGGATCAATCATCTTCCTCAGTTCTTTTATCAGATATACCTTTGATTCCTCCTTTTTTTGCCAGTATTAGATATGCAATTCTAGACTTAGTATATGACAATGTCTTGATTCCTTCTTAGGATTCTGGCTCAAATTTTGCATTAGGACTTGCTTTCAAATCTGGTATCTTCCTAGAGTTTTCTGAGTTCTATCTTGTTTCGAAAGGAAAATTCCTAACACTTCATCGACCTCACTTACGATGGAAATCTTGGGGTCAAAGGATTAACCCTTCGACGTCTTGGGTTGGTCTAAACCAACAATGGACTGATTGGGCACAACAAATGGAAATGCATTTCTCTAACCAATGGAGCCGTCAGAGGATCTATGAGCATATAAAACTCTCAACAAGTCCATTGTATATGAATCGTTGGCTTATAGGTGCAACCATTTGTTTCCGGTCATAGTCTTGTAATGTCATGCTTCTTCCTCTTAGCATTATATCTCCATCTATTCTTGACGTTGCACATAAGGCTCTCGTCGACAGACATAGCGATAACTACATCTCTGAAACCTGAACACGTTTTGTCTGACCTTCCAAATAACTTCAATTACTCAGACCACACCGCCTTCGTTTGCAAGCCAGACTCTATTCCCCCCTCATACGAGGAACACGTGGCTTTTCTCCTTCATTAACTCTGTCTCTTTTTCTTTTATGTCCCTAATCTCAAGATTATTAGGGAATATTTTAACATTATTGTGTTCTTCACTGATTAGAAATTTTTGGCCTTAGTTCTCTCTTTTAATAGCCCTTTCCAGAGGAGCTTTTACCAAAGTCGAAAAAGGAATTAATACAAATTATGGAGGTCATTTCTGGCTATTTCTGACTCGGCTATATGTCTATTTTCCTGAAACTTAGGCTATCAAATATCTTCCTCCCTCCAAATTCAAACTTATCAATTACGAAAATTTCTTCCTAATGTCAGTCTCCTTAACTCTGGACAAGAGTTTGGATTTTTACTTAAAAGGCATTTTTGATCTTGACTTTAATAGGTGCTCCTCTCTTTTTTTACCTTTTTCTAAATGCCTCTACTCATCCTTACACCTTAGAGCATTTGTTGACGGCTATATCAATCCTACTAATGAGCAAATTGATTACCTTCATACATTCTTGAGTAGTATTCTCCTTCCTCGATACTTTCATGTAGGCGGCACAATCCTTGATTCTAAATACTCATAATGTGGCTTTGAGAACTACTCTCCCAATCAAATGGCCAAACAATTTGTCTTTACTCAGCATGTCTCAGTACCTTTTATGCACTCTTTAATTGACGAGCTTGCAACTCAAATGCTCAAGCTCAAACTATTATTCAGTCTATCAAATCTCTCTGGCCTATAATAAATCATTGAAGGCCTTTTGTTTCAAATATTTTCATGGGAAACCATCTGTCTCCCTTTTCTGTGAACTGGTGGCAAAATGCTTCAGTTCTAATTTTTAGGATGATCTAGACTTTGTTACCATAATTCACTAAAACCCTAACAACTTATGATTTGGGTACATCGATCCCAAACGCAGTGAGTTCACAATCCAAATTATCAAAATGTACAATCTCAAATTGTAATACTAACTCTAAACCGATTCGTTTTAGTAGCACAAATATAAATACATATTAATTGACTACGTGCATATAAATTTATAATTATATATTATTTTAAATAATAGAAAATCGAGCATAAATATAAGATAAATGATAATCTAGTGTTTACGAATGTTCTATGATATACAATGTTGTATAGTAGTAAAAATGACCTAGAAAAGAGTTTTAAAACAAATTATAACCCAAAATATCATACCAGTTAAGACTGCCCCCATTGTACCGCTTATTTAAAAAAGTGTCATATTGCGTACTCATACCCGTTCCACATACTAAAGCAACCAAAGATTTAGGTATCATTGGATCCAAAAAACTACATATCCAAACTATGTTTTGCCAATCAAAAACCAAATGACTTATCCTTTTTTCCCGCAAATTTACTTGGCAAACTTCTGGCAAGGTCATCCATGGTCAATCTTTTAGAGTTCACCATCTCAGTCGAAGGTCAACCTGTAACAGATCCTCTTGAGGAACCTGCCATTAAAGATACTCTTGAGGAGCTTGTTCTCCTCCATGGTCTTTTTCCCCTTTTTCTTCCCTAAGTTATAAAGAGACCGCTCTAGTGAAACTAGCAAATATAGGGCAATTCCTATTGATTTTTCAAGCCTAAAATCAAGCAAAAAACTTGTCATCTTGAACACTAAAAAGTGTTTCTCAAGAGGGATCCACTAATGGCTTAAACTATATTTTCAATACACAAACGGTTTAGTAAATCTTTTTCCTTTAAAAACACCTAGGAGTCATACATGGATTAAACCATAATTTCATTTTAAGTCTAATCCTCCTAAATCTATTAAACCAAGAGATCATCTTAAGTATCTAGGTCATTACCTTTGTTCTAAACTAGAAGGTGCAACCGAAGTGTAAATGATGTAGTTTTGACGTTTGATCTCCTACCTTCAATGATGCTTTCAGATCTTCAATCTTTACAGCATCATGACCATGAAATTAATTGAGATTTACAATAGACTCCACGAAATTAGCCTATTACAAACATATATCTAACAATCCTTATATGTGGTCCAATCCTTTCTGTTTGTTTAGCATAAGAATCTTGTTCCTCTGTCCGGCTTGGATGGTGGTGTCATGAAAGAAACTTGTGTTTTTATCCCTCCACTTGAGGCATTCTAACCTTGACATTTGGCCCCAGTATTTCTCCTCTCCATTGCAAGTCTTTCCCTAGCTTTGCCTTACAACCTCTGTACATGGGTCCTCATCTGGCTAAAATGCCTCAAACTTGAAATATCTCCTTGGTTTCTCACAGTTGGGGGTAGTGCCAAGTACCAATGGAGTGATCAGATCCAATAGCCGGAGGAGTTAGGACTCTGGCATCTAGGAAGGTTGTTCTCCATGTAGGGCTAGCGAGGGCTTTATCCAATATGACTCACATTTGCTGCCCCTCCTCTGTGGTTATCCTAAGTGTATCTACATACTTTACTTTCCAGGTCCATCAAATTTGCCTCATCCATAAAGGTCCTGAAACTGCACATTTTTCTTGTCTCCCTTTCTTTGAGTCCATCCTTTTCCATTATAGATGCTATTTCATTGAACTGTCCCAAACACGGAGATCTATGATTCTGCTGTAAGCTGCTAGCCTGTGCCACTATGTGCATCTTGCTTGGTATTTTGGATGACCATAAACAAAGGTCATGAGCCACAGGTTGCTCGTACCCTGTCCTTGAAATGAAACATTAATATGACATGAGCTAAAATCCTGCACTGTGAGTGAAATCTCCTTCTTCCACATTATACGGAGTCCCCCTGAGAGGCCTTCCAGTTCAACCACCATTTTTTTATCGAAGTTTAGCTGTCTTTTTACTCTTTCAATTCTATAGGCTTTCATCCTGGTCTCGCTGAGACTTTTACCTGGGATTTATGGAGGACACACAGGTCCTTTGGTGCTAGAACTGGCAAGGAGGTCCCCAATCCTTAACAGTTCCATGTGATTAGCCTCATTTAACCAGTGGGGGCATGGTAATACCCGCCTCTTCAACCGTCGCATTGATTTCATCAGTCCATTCAATGTTAACCTCATGTAAGGCCTGTGATTGATTCTTCTTCTTTTTTGTGTAGCTCTTCTTGGCATGAATTTTTGGATGCATTTCTTGCCCTTGGATTCACTTGCCTCTGCTGGTGCCACAAGGTGTCTTTCTCCTTCTCTGGAAGAAGGATTAAACACTTCTTTTTTTTTTCTATAAAATTGTGTTAGTTCCAAGATGAATAACAGAAAAATGTGATCAACCATACAGACTGACATACTAAAGTTCAGGAAATAAAAATTATATTTAAAAGTTGATGGTAAGCAAGACAAGGATAAACGTTTTTGATTGTTGGAAGAATTATATTGATTTCAGATTAGTTGCTTACCTACAAAGAATAAGAAATCTGCACCACAAATGTACACAATATTTATAACCAACATTTAAAGTTTTCATGGAAAGTAAAAGAAGAGATATATTTTGAGACAAAAACCTTTAATGTTGGAGCATTATTTAAAGGAATAGAAGTGAGAGCACTAAATTGTGGTGCCTTCACAGAATCCCAAGAAATGGACAATTGACCAGGTAATGTATTCTCTGAATGAACAACCTGTGGCAAAAGAATTATAAATAGCATAAAGTTATCTATTACAAACAAAAGCTCCACAATCACAGTTTTTTGTTATTAAGGAATATGACAGGTAACACCATTAAGTCTTTCAATAGTTCTTAGGAAAGTAAGGGACTGTTATCTAACTCCTCAAAATTCTAACGGGATCCTTAAATTGTTTCTCCCAATTTTCAAACAGACTGCACGACTGTATGCCACACTCATGTAAGCAGATATACACAGCCTTGTTATGGCACACACTATAGGTCATAGCACCCTGCTGCTTTGAAACTATTGATTCGAGTTTGAACCATTATTGATATTTACAACATAATGAATGAGTTTCTGGTAATGAATTGTATAGCAGTTTAAACCTGGGAGTGGACAATGTGCCTTGAAGTATTAGGTGGGGTGGGGCAAGAGAAAGAAACACAGCTAAGAACTTTACTCCCAAAAAAAATTCCAATACCAAAGAGAGAAGAAAAAGTTGCTATTTCAGTGCTTTAATCATATCAACTAGACTATTCAGATGAACATGTTGGACAAAAGAATTTTTTTAGGCAAACTGAGAAACTATAATTATAATATAGGGCTGTCCAAACTCTAGAGTGGGTTGTAGATTGACACCTTGAACAAAATCTGAAAAAATGGAACAGATTTTCTGAGTCAATCGAAAAATGAAAACTAGGAAATGTATTCTTTTACGGGAATTGAGGGAGTTTAAGTCCTTATTCAGTTTCTGTATGCTCTTGCGTATGGTAAATACATAGGCATATGCATATATGTGCGTGTGTGTGGAAATATGTCTGTGTGGATTATAAGGTAGCATCTTTATAAATTCTGTAAGGTTGCATGAGATATATCAGCAAATCTATCAATCAATGCAACCCAACAGAGTAAAACTTCTTAACAAAATAATCAATCTGCTCATGTTGAAATTAAAATGCATATATCAAATTTTTATCAACTTCAATTAGCTTTGGAGACGAAGATAGAGAGAAAGTTCTAGAACCCTCTTCTGTGTCTGGTCCCAGTATCAATGAGTGAGCAAGAAGAGGATCTGAAGAGAGCTTTCGATACCCATATTATGCAATTATACAGGAATAATACTAACAGGATTAAAATGGTAAGATGGTGTAGGTGACGACATATTTAGAACATGAACCTTAGGCAGCTGGCCGTTTTGGGGAGCACTGCAAGAAGAACAAGTGTGCTTCACCTTAATAAATCAATCATGGAAATGATCAATACACAGTTAGATACTTGTAGTAAATAGTTTGGGGCAGCTTACCAATGGGAACAGGAATGAGGAGAAGAAGGAGAGGGGCCATTCAGTGGCGGCATTGTTGCCTCTGGTGCCGGGATCATGAAAGAGCCCCAGAGATATCACGCACCACCGACAGTTCACTTTAGCAGAGTATTATAACAGAGCACAACTTGGAACTACTCCTACTCCTACTCCCATACATTACATAATAACCAGCTAACGGGAGAGAGAATGATCTCTGCAACTGCTAGGATAGGATAGCCATTAAGCCAGCCAGCCAACATGCAATCGGACAAAAACTCCCTCCGAAACAACAAAACCCTCTGAGGGCAAATACAATAAATTCAATACAAAAGAGAACCCACCGTGAGCAATGGGTTGGGTGGAGTGGGTACCAACTACTAGTAATTCTTGGTTTTTTAAGGTAAAAAATTCTTTAGAGTGGCAACAATCCCGTAGAAGACCCGAAAAATTATAAGAAACAAAAAATACGATTAATAATGATAATAATTATGACGCATGGTGCGGGATAGCAACTGAACTGTTACTGTCTGGGAAAACAAAAGGAAAATTGGATAACGAAAAGAACGTAGACAAGGGCTATAGTTGATTAGGTGGCGGGAGAGGAAGTAAAGCAGTTATGTGAACTGGTGATGATGACGACAGGAACAGGAGGGGACCGCCGTTGGCGTGGGTCTGTTTTGTATACATTTTTGTAGGAACGACCGACTACGGAGCAGGTACTTCGGTTGTGCCTACCCCCTTCCGTCAACGAAACCAAGTTTAGAAAAACAGTAATGATTGCTGGAAAGTGGGAACACTAATAAATACGGCACTCCTGAGAGTTAATTAATATAATTATTAGATTAATTGTGAATTTAATGTAATTAATAAGTTAATTATAATTTTTAAATTTAAATTTAAATGGACTCTTCTTTTAAATCGATTTGATTTTGACTATATTCCTGAGTTAGACTTAAATAATATTTTTCATAAAATCAAAACACAGAATTTTTTTTTATTTTCTTGATTTGGAAAAACACAAACTAACATTATTGTTTATATGTTTTACAAGTCCCTAAACTCTCGTACACACATACAAAAAAGGAGTTTGTGAGCATGTTTATAAATTTCGGATAACGGTCGAGTCTATTTTTATTTTTTAAATATCATTCTCTAGTGATATTAATTATTTCATTTTAAACTATTAAATTTGTCTCATTTATACTTACCTATCGTTGACTCCATCGATGCCCACTCATTAAACTAGCACCTAATTCTCAATTTGTTGTCTTTGTAGAACTAAGAAAGAATAGCTAATTTTTTTAACTTATACTTCCACATCCACAACCTCCAGTCGCTTATTTTAGTGTTTTCTCACTACATTCCATTGCATAAATATTATCATTTAAAGATTTCTATTATATATAATGTTTAACTTATTTAGTGACAAAGGCAGTTTTAGTGGATTGGAGAGGTTTTCAATCCTCTTGAGTAATGTCTCCAAGCGATACTCTCAGTTTCCTGGCGAAACTTCTCCAACTAGACCAGCAAAGGATCTAGCCTTTAACAACACTCAACCTAGGACATCAAACCTGATAATCACCAACTACCTCCACCCTATAAACACTCACTCAAATTCTTGGATTCCCCCCAAAACTGCATGAAGGACATCGGAGATATCGTTCGGATCCACCTTTCAAGCATCACCTGAAATATAGAAGAAATGCTACTTCCAAGTCTCATGGGAAGAGGGAGCACCTACGACTCAAGCCTTGACCTTAACATGTTTGGAGATGTAGCTACGGGGGAGCACTTGATGTTGAAAAAATTGAGAAGCTCGGTCATGGAAGGAGCTCATCTCAGGTCGTTCTCTCTCTAAAATACTAAAAGGCCGACCATGCTTTCCTAAAAATTGGGAGATATCCTCGAAGGATAGATGTTGAAAAATCAAAGAACACCTTTGAGGAAATGCTACATAGGAAACCTAAGACTTGACTCGGCCAAGACGAAAAAATAGGTTTTTCCAATCAGGTAGATATCGTAGTGGTCTATGTTCAAAAAAGGGTAAGCCACCATGCCCTTGTGGAATTGGTAACAATTAACCAAAGACCGGAGCCTACGCTCGGTAAGCGGCTCGAGGTCAAAGATGCGAATGACCCATGCAAGTTTCCAAACTTGCCTGAGGTACTGACCTCACATGAAGGGGAAGCTTAGATAGATTTGGTAACCCTTTCTTTTAGGGCCCTTTTTCCTCTTACCACGGCCAAAAACTCCCTTCCTTAGGCATATTCTTGAAAAAGAGATGAGGAGCCTCCTTCCTGTTGAGAAGTACTCTCCTCGTGAGGTACTATCGGTAGAGGGTTCTCATCTTCTTCCAAATTTATCACTTTTTTTTTTTCTGGGGGAAGATTCGACCTTAGGATCCTCGTTTTCATCCCCAAACATTAGAGAGATGGAAGACCTAATGACATATGGAGACCCAGACATATCTGAGATCGAGGGTATTAAGTAACCTAACCTAGAATAAAATGGAGGAAATATACTTAGAGAGCAGTCCTCAATGGCATGGGGTCTAATCACCAACGACCAAGGAGAAAACCCTAGTTGTAGCAAAAGGGTTCAAGAAAAAGGGTAAAAACTGCTAAACACCTAGCTAAACCCCTAAAGTAACCAAAATGGAGCACTAAGAAGTGGAGACCTTGAGACCACCACTATATATCAAAACGATCCAAGTTTGATGCATAAAAACTAAAAAGAAGAAGGAAAACATACCTAGAAGACGATGATGGCAAGAGGAATACAAAGAACCTAGAATCCAACAAGACAAGCACTGAACGGTATGGAACCTAAGCCCAAGAACCCCTAGAATCGTTTGAACCATCAATCGATTTCTCTCACATATCACAAGATCTTTAGAGGGTTTGACAAGAGAATTCAGAAAGGGGAAAGGAGTATGAGACTCTTGGAGAAGCTTTGGGGAATTTCAAAAGAATTTGGTAAAGTAGAGTCTGAGTTTTAGAAGGGTTTAACTAGGGGAGGATTTGGTGGCTTTATTTCATCATGCGCATTAAATACGTCTACGCATCATTCCACGTGACACGATAAGAGTGGCACAGTCCAAGAAACGAGGCGTGTTCTGCGTCCATGCCTGCACGACACTGAAATCCTAGGGAAACTGTCCTGTCACGCCTTTTCAATTCTCAAAGTCATTCAATTCTTAGAACAATGACCATCATTATTATCATTATTGTGGTACAAATTTTTTCTCATGTTGAAAGTATGAAGGGAAGTCTTTCTAAGGCCTCTCTCATTTAATTTGTTTGTTATAATAATATAGATATACACATGTATACATACATTTAAAAATAAATAAACTAGGCATGAGGGTTTCTCTGACTCCAGTGATGTTGAATTAATAAACTGAAATAAGTTTCCACGATGGAGTGTGAATACTAAGTGACGGTGATGCTCTGCACAGTTTAGCAAGATTGTACTATCTAAAGGTTTGGGAGTCAGTCGAATGTCTGGTCAGAAATCCTAGGCTTTTGGTGTTTGGGCAACACAATTGAAAAATTGTGGATATAAAATTTGTAGTAGTTCATCAGGAGATCGACTGATTCATTCTAATGGAGTCTCTTACTTCTAAAAAAATTTTCTATTAATCAAGGGACAGAGTAATATTGCAGACAGATTACTTGTGTTACATTGTGAGATATTTGACCCATATTTATAGCCTTCAAATGTCTTGCGTGATTTCTTTGTGTGATCCTTACCACTTCTTCGTAACCGACACTTTCTTTGTGTAATCAGCGTAGATAGTGCTAAGGCGATTGCGACTCATTTGCTAGAATGTTAGGTCGTTGCGAGTTATACGCAGCCTTTGGGAAGGAGTCAATTGTCACTGTCATCATGCCTACGAGGATCTGTTGTTGGAGATCTCCGATCTGCGCATCCTTTGTTGCTAATCATGAGTTGCATGGTTTGAGCTTAGATGCCCGGGCTGAATGACTTGAACTCAACCTTAACCAATTTTCTGGTATCATTAGTAAGCAATGAGGATAACAAAAACTTTTTCTCCCCTTTGTGTTGGGGAACAAAATGCATGCCTATTCTTAGCATTAAGATGGTTCAAGCACTTTCCTTGCGGGCGAGGTAAATAATTCCCCGCCCAACCCTCAATTTCATTTGGACCGGTCTTTACCTTTCTTTATGTGATATACCCTAATTCGTGGGTTAACTATAGACGTCAATACGAAAGCACAATTCAAGGGTTTGTATGCACCTTAGTTTTAATCTTTACTAGGTAAACCACTCACAAACTGTTAACCTGTTATTACATCCTGTGATGGCAGGAGAGATTTTAAGAGATAGACAACATAATTGAAGATCCACCTCAAAAGTGGCAGGTCGTGAATTGGAGTCTCCACCTTTTGCTTCGGACTACCAACATAATGATTTAGGCTGGAGGCTCTCCCCAAAAGTGGGTTTATTGATAGATCACTGCCATAAAATTTCAAATACAATCTAAACGAATATCATGTTTTAGATGAGTGAATTTTATAAATTTTTTTTTAGTAAGATCCACTCACTCAATAATCATCCAAATAATAATATATATTTGAGTTTTAATTTTGGGTTTTATTTAAATTAGATAGCATTTTTCTTATTAATAATGGATGCGCTAATGATGGTTTGTAGTACTACCAGAGGCCCGAAATCATACTACAGCATTTCAATATTGTTTTTTAGCAGTGCTAGTTAAATTTAATTTCTGACTTTATTTATTAGTCTTAATCTAATTATTGCATATTATTGAACTGACGGTAGACCTTACTATTAATTGACACACATTACTAATTCAATAATTAAGATGTATTAGATCAACAAATAACGTCAAAAAATTAGGTATAAATCTATAAGGTGTTGCGGCAACATTTTGTTGTGCTACGGTACAATCCATGTGTGACCGATGCTCTGCATTAAATATGAAAGCAGATCCATAACTACCAAGGACGTGCAAGGTGGTGACCAGCTGCATTTTGTAGTGCTAGTCCTAAGTTACAGGCCATCTCAACAGATAGGAACTGGGGCGTTGGGAAAGGAACTGGCTAGCAATAGCATGCACGGTTCCCCGCTGTAAGCGCCAAATCGTCGGATATTATGCTAGAAATGATAGAATAATTGCTTGTTTGTTATGTCATCATCCCTTGCCCTTGGGTAGTGGAGATAGAAAAAATGCCAAGACAGAGGAAGGAAAAACGTCAAAGATGTTGGAGGTGGGTGGATCCCCGTTGTTGGTAAATAGAACAGACTACTCGTCCATGTCCATATCTGCATGTGATCTCATCTAACAGCCTTTCGTCATAAAATCAGAGAGAGAGAGAGAGAGAGAGAGAGAGAGAGAGCTGCTTTTTAAGCTACGCAGAAAGGATATATAGGGACTCGATTTGCAAGGGACCCAAGAAAAGCAATCACAACTGGGTGGAAATCACCCTGTGTGGCAACGGGGGTAGGCCAGTCAACGGTCAATATTCAGATGACCATGATACCAACCAGATGCTTATTATATGAAGAAGAAACTAAGTAGAAAGCTATGAGCAACAGTTGGGTGAGCGGGGACAGACAGACAGCTCAATATATATATATATATATATATATATACACTAGTCAATATTCATACCTAAAATGTAATAAACAAAAAAATCACAATTAATTGTCCAAATTAAAAAAAATGATTCGAAAACATTTATATCAATTCTTCTTTTAAAATGACTTACCCATATTATTGAAACTGTCATAAAAATGAACAAAAAACTCCCCAAAGTAACACCACATATACAATTACTTCAGGAAAAAATTACTTATAGAACCAACTTAAATTTACAATTTTTAAGCATTAAATGAAATCAATAAAATCTTTTTCATTTATAATAATTGTGTATTCATTGTCATTACCATCATTTAATTTAATAACAGAACATAATTACAAACTCAATCGACTGATATAATAAATATCTCAAACAAAAAACTACTTACAAATGCAATCGTTTATATAATAAAAATAAGTTCACATATGTTGTCAAAAAAATAAATTTTATTATTTAAAATTCCACCAGCTTTCAAAAGATTGAAATCAAATTTACAATCGTAAACTAAGAAAAGTAATAAAATCAACCTAAATTAAGATATAAACAATACAATTGTAACATATGATATTTAACATGGACATCAAATGTTAAAACCAATAAACTCTTACCAAAGCATACACCACTAACATTTGGTGCAATTAGTTTCATGTATTTTTTTTATATTGGTCGCTTTTTATTTTTTTAATAGTAATTGGCTTGACTTTGAATTTTTTTTTATTTTTTTTGGTAGTTGCAATAGTGATTTATTTTTGGTATGAATAATATCTTGAAGGTCTTATTTATGGATTGTATATTTATATTTTTGTTTGTGTGGAAGTGGTGATGGGGATTAGATTAGTTTTGAATTTTTTTTTACGACTGCAATTAGATTTTATTGTTTTTTTTTTATTGGTCACTTGTTATTTTTTTTATTTTATACTTTTTGTTTGCGTTGAAGAATTGATAATTAGCTTGGAGATTATTTATTTTTATTTTTTTCGGTGCAATTGGTATCACTTTTTTTTATTGGTAATTAACTTGAGCTTTATGTTTTATTTTTTGGGAGAATTTTTTTGTTTTTATTGGTCACTTGTTATTTTTTTTTATTGGTGATTAGCTTGGGATTTGGTTTTTTGTTTTTTTGGGGAATTGTTTTGTTTTTATTAGTCACTTATTATTTTTTTTATTTTTTTGGTGCAATTGGTATCATTTGTTTTTTTATTGGTGATTAGCTTGGGCTTTTGTTTTTTTTTTAATTATTATTTTGAGAACTATATGTTTGCATATCGTAAATGAGAGATAACAATGTTAAAGTTAAGAATAGAGAGTTGTATCAGTATGAGATAAGAAAAGAGAGTTGTAATATGGGATAGGAAGATAGAGTTAGATGATAGATAGAAGTTTTAGAGTTAAGGAGTGAGAGTTGTATCACTTAATATGATATAGGAGAGAGCGAGTGTTAGATGAAAAATATGAGTCTTAGAAAATTTTGGCATGAGAATCATCAAATCAATAATTGTTTAGCGATCTAAGTCACGAAAAACTAAAAACAAAAAAATCTAACTACTTTATTATATATATTAGTTATTACCCGTGCCTGAAGGTACAAAGTAATAAGAAAACTATCAATAATAAACATACTTGTACTCACACCCAAAATCAAATCATAAATATAGATAATAAATAAAGGAATTTAAGTACCGGTTGTAGTAAGCAGTAATAGTGGTGGTGGAAAACGATGATAGTTGTGATGAGTGGTGGCAACCGCGGGTAGCAACAGTGATGGTGGTGATAGATTTTGAGTGACGATGATAGTAGTGGAAACCATGAGTGACGACGATGATAGTTGGTTTTGGGTGTCAATGGTGGTAGTGACAGTCATAAGTAACGGTGATGATGATGGGCAATGGTGATGGCGGTAGACAGTGGTAATGGTGGGGCGACGACGGTGGTGGGGAGTAACGATAGTGGTGGTACGCAATGACGGGTGCTTCTGAACAACAATGTGATGGGTGCTGACAAATGACGAAGGTAGTGGTGGTGGTAGGTGTGGGGAGGGGTCGAGTGATAGTGTCTGACGACAATGAGTGGTGGTGGTAGGTGTGGTGGGAGACAGTGGCTAGTGGCAATAATGGGTGACAACGAGTGGTGGTGGTGGTGGGTGCTGATGGTGGACGACAGTGGTAGTAGGATGATGATGGTAGAGGTAATAAATATAAGAATGAGATGACAATGGTGGCGAGTGGTAATTTTGGCAAATGTGGTGATCAAGTGGCAATAGTAGAGGCACTGGTTGGGTGGCGATGGTGGGGGAGGTGGTAGTGATGGTGGGGTAACGGTGGAAACGACATTAGGGTGACGACAGTGGTGATGGGGCGATAGTGGTGATGGTAATGGTGGTGGAACGATGAGGGTGGTGGTTTTTGTGGGAGAGGAGGTGGTGGAATGGTGGTGATGTTGGTAGTGGTGATGATGGTAGTGGTGATAGCAGTGATAGTGGTGGTGGGATAGTAGTGGTAGTGGTGGTGGTGGTGGGGCAGTGGGGGTGGTGGTGAGATGGTTCCAAACACTATTTTTTTTTTAAATACTTATGAGAAGTTACAAGTACTAAAAACACTTTTAAAAAGTCACCCAAAATACACTCTTAAATGCCTATTTTTTTTATTTAATTTGGGGAGTTAATATTAATTGTTAAATTAACTTTAAAATAAAATTTAAAGAGATTTAAATTATTTTAAAAAGTCACCCAAAATTATTTTATATTTTATTATATAAATAATTGTATGTTAGGTGTCATCAATTACTACGTATGTCCACACAGTTCAATTTCAGCGAGCATACATTAAAATTGAGTCAATATTGTACTACACATCAAAAGATTATGTACATCTTTATACGTACGTGGGTTTTCTAGTTGTCCATCCTGAAATTTCTATCCCCGCAATATCTTGCCCACACAAAGCAATACACTACAGGCTTCATTATGATTTCTCAAAGGCAAAAAGCCAACACTTTTCCCCAGGAAAAAAAAAACCCTTTTTTTAAAGTGTATCCGAGAGGCCTTTAACGGCACAACAATACCACATGAGAAAGCAAGATGAGAGTTTTATATTGCAAAGCTACGGCAAGTTGATAGTTTCAAGGAAAATATGTCTTTCCAAAATTAAAACGAGTTTGATTTAGTTTTTTCCAAAGTATAGGATCTAAATTACAGCTATTTTGCTTGTCTTTTTTTATCTTATAATTGACATGCCAAACATTCTCTCTGTAGCATAAGTTCAAAACATTTCATCCCAAAAAAAATAAATAAAATCAAATGGTGTCATATTGTAGTTTGTACCTAATTTTTGACATGAACTACATGTCTGCATCCAATTAGCCTCAAAGTTGGTGCCCTAAAGTCTTTGTATGATTGGCTAATGGATGTTTTTTGGTTGGAATTTCGGAATTCAATAGAATGAATTTGAAATTTTGCACCCACAGTAATTTACAGATAACCTTACAGATCTGGAACTTGTTGGCAAATTTCATTATTATGGTTGAAGTATTGAAATAATTTGTTTCCATCAATGTAACTTTAAAGATGTAACTTGTGCGCATGATGACTCAAAAGGTAAATATGCTTGCTACCTGTAATTTATAGACTCATTAAACAGTTTGCTTTTTGAAATAATCAGGTGATAAAATCCAAATTCGACCCTTTAGACGTTTTTACATATATGTTTATTCAGAATAATACTACAAAATTCAAATAAAATCAAAAAAATTATAATTCAAATACATATCATTCTTTGGATGAATGTGTCCATCAATTTTTTTAATGGGACTCACTCATCCCACACTCATCTAAGTAATGATATATATTTGAATTTTAACTTTTAAATTTTATTTGAGTTATACAACATTTTCTTAAGGCTGTCAATTTTTGACACGTCACGTTAACACGAAACGAACCAAACACAAAATTAAACCAATTAATGAATTAAAACAGGTCAACACGCTTAAACACGAAAAAAATCATGTCGAGTTCATGTCAAAATCAGGTCAACCTAATTTTGACTTAATTAACCCGTATATTTTAAACGGGTTGACATAATTCGGACATAAACCCGACCTAATTCATTGTACACCCGTTTAACCCGTTTATGGCAGTATAATTTGTCTATTATATATGACTGATACGGTCTTAACATTATAACTTATTAGTTCTTGCTTCTATTATGATAATTGACAGTATAGTTCTTAACATTACTATGATAGTATACAAGTATAGTTCTTGTTTTAATTTTTGGGTTGAATCTTGAATGCATTTTAGTTAATTTCATTGATGAGACGTAATATATTATTTGTAAAAAAATTATTTGAAAATTTGGATGAATGATTGAATGATGTATTTAATGGTAATGAATTTGTGTGAAAACAAGTTGTGTATGTTTAACATGTTTGTGTTATGTATACTAAACAAGTTAAACAGATCATATTATGTGTGTTAACCTGAAAATAACCTATTTATTAAATGTGTTAAACAAGTCAGGTTAGTGTTTACATATCTCAACACGATTATTAAACATGTTAAACTTGAGTTTTGAGATTTTTAACACAAATTTGAAATCAATCCGACACAAAATAGTCTAATCCAACACGTTTGACACTCTTATTTTCCTATTTAAAAGACTTCCGTAGAAGTGTAATCCAATGAATTGAGATCTTTTGCAGGTTACGAGCACTGTCTATGACCTTTTAACTTGTTAACTAATTTTTCTACCCTACAAGTGAGATAGACGTTCTGTGTTGGACTTGTACGTGAACAAATTGGCAACAAGAGATTTGGTACAGTACGACCAACAGAAAGTTTAGAATATATATATATGATTTCATTGTTCATTAATTTATGGCTGGCGTCTATCATGTATATATACTAGTTATTGTCTATGCTTAAAGATAGAGAATAATAAAAAATAATAAACAATAAACATATTTGTATTCATATCTAAAATCAAATTACAAACATAACAGAGAGATTAATGAATTTAAGTATCGATTGTAGTGGGGGTAAGAGGTGGTGGACGGTAGTGGTGGTGGTAGGAAACAGTGATGATTGTGGTGGGTGGCAATGCCTGTGGTGGCAGCGGTGGAGGTGGTGGCGACGATGGTGGTGGTGGCGATAGCGACAATGGTGGTGGTGGCGGCGACGACAACGATGGTGATGGCGACAACAATGATGACTGCAGTGGTGGCAAAGGCGACAGTGATGGTGGTGGTAGCAGTAGCGATGGCGATAGGGGTGATGTTAGGGGGTGAGGGTGGTAGCGGTGGCAGTGGCGACGACGTTGGTGGTGGAGGTGGTGGCAGCGACGATGATGGCAGCAGTGGTGGTGGTGGCAGCAATGGCGGCGGTGACGACGACGACAGTGATGGTGGCAGCTACAACGATGGCGGTAGCGGCGAAAGTGGCTGTGGCGGCGGTGGGGGTGGCGGTGACGGCGATGGAGGTGGTGGTAATGATGGTGGCGATGGCAGTGGTGGGGGTGGTGGTGGTGGCGACGATGGTGGTGATAGAGGTAGTGGTGAAGCGGTTTTAAAGATTATTTTTTTTTTTTAAAGTACTTATAAGAAATAATCCGTAAAAGTACTTTTAAAAAGTTACCCTAAATATATTCTTAAGGACTTTTTTTTCCTATTAAATTTGGAGTGTTAATATTAATTATCAGATTAACTTTAAAATAAAATTGAAAGAGATTTATATTGCGAATAGCAAAAGTCATTTTATTTATTTTTTATAATATGAATTATAAATTATTTTATTATATGTATATATATTTTTTGGTACTTGCATTGTTCATTAATTCGTGGTTGGCGTCTATCATACAGTGGGTTGGTGCTGTGGTGGGGATAAGGGCTAATGGCATTTATCTAATTTAACTTGGGGGTGGTGGAGTCGTGGGGGTAATTGATGAAGTACATAGTTTCAGAGAAATGAAAAAGATGAAGATAGAGAATTTTCATTCTTGATTTATTTTCCCTTACACACTTAATCTGTACATGATGTTGTATTTGTACACAATTCTTAGGATAACAAACTGTCAATTTTGTTACAGATTTTGCTGAGCTGGATAGAAGTTAGTTACAACAGTTTCACGTGTGTTGATCAGCTGGATTTAGTTGAGCTATTGCAGTGTACTGAGGTTCACTATAACTAACAGTGAGACATCTCAATAGGTTAATACAATCCCTTAAACCTTTTTTTTTTTTTTTTGGGGGGGGGGGGCAACCATAAGTTTGTTTTTGAGCATCAAAAACCTAGTTGTGGGAAGACTTTTGGTGAAAATATCAGCTAGTTGGTCCTCGGTAGAGATATAATGGACTGCAAAAGATTTTTGAGCTACCCTCTCACGAATAAAATGAAAATCAATCTCTATGTGTTTGGTTCTGGCATGGAACATTGGATTTGGGCCAAAAGCCAAAGCGGAAATATTGTCAAACCAAAGCTTGGGAGTAAAGGAAGGTTGAATATGAAAACTCGTACCCGAATAACCTCAGTTGTAGTATGAGCAAGTGCTCTGAAATTCTACCTCTGTGGATGATCTAGAGACAATCTGTTGCTTCTTAGTGGACCAGTGAATAAGATTATCACCCAGATATAGAAGAAAACCTATGGTAAATCTTTGATCATTAGAATCTCCTACCCAATCAGCATCTGAGAATGCTGAAAGGCTAAGAGAACTAGGTTGATAGAGAAGACCAAATGTACTTGTTCCTTTAAGATACCTTAGAATTCTTTTGATTGCCGCAAAGTGGATGTCTGTAGGCTGGCTCATGTATTGACAGACATGATTAACAGCAAAAGTGATATCTGGTCTAATGAATGTAAGGTACTGTAAAGAGCACACTAAACTTCTATACAATGAGGGATTTGGAAGAAGAACACCCGCACTCTTCTCAAGTCTAGAGGAGGTTGCAGAAGGTGTTTTGCAAGGTTTACAGTCAACCATCTTGATTTTGTGAAACAAATCAATAACATATTTCTATTGAGTAAGTATTTTTTCTTACACACTTAATCCGTACATAATGTTGTATTTATACCCAATTCTTAAGCTAACAAATTGTCAATTTTGTTATAAATCTTGCTGAGCTGGACAGAGTCAATTACAATTGAGCTGCTGCAGTGCGGGGTGGTTCAATTGGTTAATAATAGTAATAAGTACTAAATAAACATCACCGCATGAGACTGGGATACAGTACAACATCACGTTTCAAGTTTCAAGACCTGAGAAATATGCTAAGCTCCTGCCCAGAACTTCCGTCCGGGTTAATCATGTGAAACGACTCGGAGTTGGCCAATCCAATGACTCGTTGGAAGCTGGCTCGCAGGTACATGACATCACCGTCTTCCGACTTTGGAGCAACGGGCAAAACACCAGCCCCAACAGAGACAGACTGCATGAGCCTGAGGACTCTCTGGCGTCGTTGAGCGTCGTCTGACGCCTGATGGCGAAACCAACCTTCCTGTCGTTGCAGTACATGGACCACACGGGCACATTGTAGAGCGAGCACCAATCGGACCACCTTTGCCTTTGACAATCACACTCCAGAGCCATCCGAAGCAACCCGAACTGCATCTCTCTAGCGAGGTAAGAAGTGGGGACCCCAAACTCCAACACTTGGATGCAAAACCCTCACTCGTCCCTTTCGGTATCCAAAGAAGGTCCCCGTCACGGTACTGGAGCTGTGAACGGAACGGACACTGTGTCGCCGGAGACAGAGTCGGCGGATGTTTGGAAAGCACATCATGCGGGGACCACGCATTCCACGAGTGATCTCACTCGGAATGATCGTCGAAATCTGAGTTCTCTGGCGCAGTCTACTGAGGATGCGGTGTCTATTATGTGAAGAGGGCCTCTTTGGTTTCCCAAGTCTATCATGGTTCTCATGTTTTACGACCACCAACTACTCTATGAGTAAACAAAATGTTACCCGAGAAAGAGAGAGAGAGAGAGAGAGTGTGTAGGAAGGTGCAGTGGGTAAACACCTATAAATACCTGAATGCTAAAGAGGAGATAACTAATTAATTAATTTTGAGCCAAGTAAGGAAAGGATTCAGTTAAAAACAAAGAACAATAAAATCAAGTGTGGGGTGGGCTGGGCTGGGAACGGTGAGCAATAATTCTGTTCACGAGCGAGTGCGGGGCCCCGTTTTGGATCCACTTAGAGACATGGAACGTTTTATAGTACCCAAAGCCGAAGGTCATCAAATAAGAAAGAGCAATGATATTAAGTGATGATTTAATTTGTTGATTTAATTCACTATAACATTTCCTCTCAATTTTTAAAGCATTAATCCCTTTCTAGCAGCATATATAGAACTTGCAATCCTCCTCCCTCTTCATATTTTCTGGTAATTAAGTGAGATATTGAGGGGGGTTCGACTCCTTTCTTATTCACAAAATTAAGATCCTGTGGGCTGCCTCTTTTTCCCTAGCCAGCTAATTCACATGACCAATTTTACCCTTCAAATTATTATGCAGACTAATAGAACATCCATCCCTTAATTAGCTTCTTTCTTTCTTCTTTCGATTGACACTACTTAAATTCTTCCTTACTTATTAAACAACAATTGTTTATCGATTTGATTTTTATGGTCTTGTTTTTTGTATATATATTTACTACTAAGCATTTGTATAAGGGAATGTGAGGATTTATGTCAAACTTACAAACTCCATGAATTCTTTCTGTATGTGTTGAACTACTCTTTAGCATATACACAGCGAGAGATAAATTGAACAAAAAAATAGATTTTTTTTGCAGAGAAACAAAAAGGTATTGCTGGAATGATAGAATAGCAAAAGAGGTTTAAAGTTAATTCAAACAATTGACAATACGTACAATAAAGTGATTGGTGTCGTGGGTATGTAAGGATTGTCTAGGGAGGGCATTCACTAGAATAAGCCCGAGTCACTTTTGCAAACATGCATGAGGCCGTGGGGCCTGCCTGCCGCAATCTTTTGCTCCCCATTATATATACTTCTTCTTCATAGGCAAGCTTTTGTCTTCTGAAAAACATAAAGGTCATGAGAAAATGGCATTTCGGACCTGCTCCTCCCCTTTGATTTTCTTTATAAAATTATTTTGCTTGGATTCACGCCTATTATTTCTTCCCTAAAAACCCAAATACTCTTGTGACTTGGCAAATTAGTTTTTACGTCTAGAAATTAGATTGAGTACAGATTGGATTATTTGATGTCACGTCTTAGTTTTGATTTCTCAATGGTAAACAACCATTGTGTGGTGTGCGTGTCTGTGTTTATGAGAGATGATGACGAGAGGGGGGAAAAAGAAAGAGGGACCCCGATGAACAAGCAAAAGGAAGGAGAAACATGAACATCTAGGCTAATTGGCTAAAGGAAGATACTTAATTTGCAATTGGCAGGTTGAGGTAATTGTTGGATAACCTTAGAGTCAGCAGGTTTGGCAACTGGCAAGAGAAAGTAGAGGAGATACCAAAAGAGGTATTTGGTTTGGGGCCCACTGTAGTGATTAAGATCAGAATAAGGTTTTTGCACGCTTCACTGCTTTTCATCACCCTCTATATATCACTCAATAATTCAATTCATGCTTTCCCCACCCACCACTACCTCCATCAGCAGTGCCGGCCCATGCCCTAGGCCATTGCCTAGTGCCCCCAAATGGGACAAAAATTTTGGGGCCTTAAATTAAATTTTTATACAATTTTACAAGACTTAATTTTGGGTTTAATTTAAGAACTTAATACATTTTTACTATTAAATTATTAAGACAAAATACCATTAAATAAGTTTACTAAAAATCAAATAATCATAATTTATTAAGTGTCAAAATTAGGTCCCTAGATTAATACAAGTAATAGTATTGTAAAACTTTTTAAAATTTCTTACAAAAATATTTAGGGCCCTAAAGTTTGAGCTTATGTGCTTTATGATTTTTATCTTTGTCCAATGTTTATGATATATGAAAAATATGCGTTATCACCTAATAAAATATTTTTCTATCATATTATCAAAAAAAAAAAAATTGTATAATTCATTGTCTATCAACTAATAATTATAAATTATAACTTTATATTTTTTTTAGATTAAATATGAGGTTACTTCAAATTTAGGATAGATTTTTGCTTAATTATTTTTTTAAAGCGTATAAAAATGACTATATAATAGAGTGAGTAAAAGTATCTCACTATCTGAAATTAATTATAACCATACTTGTCTTGCTAAAATTTTTTAGTTAAAACATTTCGGTGGTTCTCTGCAATATTAAAGCATGTTTCACATTTTTTAATACCATTTAAGTTACACAAATTTTAACTTTTACATTTGTTCTGAAAAAAAAATCATTTTATTAGTTAGTTTAAATTTTCATTCTCTTTCTCATGATCTTTAATATAAAACTAACTTAATTATATTTGAGCAATGATTCAACTTTTGTTAATTGAATTTTAATGTATAAAACTTGAATTTAAAAATTCAATTAATATCTTTGAATCTCAAAAAATATTAAATAATTTAATTTTTGACAATTATTTATATTATTACAAAATATATTAATAGGGCCTAATTTAAAATGGGATTTTTGGGAATCGGTACACCTAATTAGACTTAAAATTGGGTTTTTGAAAAAAGGTACACTAGTTAGATACAAACACATAAAATGTCCATTTTAAGAAAAATGGTGCATTAAATATATTCTAGTTTTATAGGAGAACTTTAATATTTAATGCACATTGATTCATGTGTATTTGTTAATATATATATATATATATATATATATATATATATATATATATATATATACACAAACAAGTATATATAAATATGTATATGTATATATATATTTGTATATATACATATTTATATTTATATATGTATGTATTTATATACGTATATTGTATTTATATACATATATATAGAAGTATGTATATATGTGTAAAGTGTAATATTAAAAGTGAAAAGTGTAACATTGAAAGTGTAAAGTATTATCTTATGTCTCACCTTACTTAATGAAAAGTGTAAAATATTACATGTTAACATTGAAAGTGTAACACTTTCTCAATTAATTAGCATTTTTAATATAAGATGAGACATGTATATTTTGTTTGTGTAACACTTTAGGTAATGTCTCCCCTTTAATTGCGTAAATAGCTTGTTACATTTTTATTGTTATACTGTTATTGTTACTTTCAATATTACCCTATAACACTTTACACTTTCCATTAAGAAATGTGACATAAAATAATACTTTATACTTTACACTTTCAATGTTACACTTTAAACGTATATATATGTATATATGCATTTATATATGTATACATATACTTGTATATATATTAACAAATACACATGAATTAAGGTGCATTAAATACTAAAATTTTTCCATAAAATTAGGAGATATTTAATACATCACTTTATGAAGAACATATACATGGATCAATGGAGAACAAAAATATCACAAAAAAATTAGGCAAATTCAAATTGTGTAATTAAATATAAATAAGTATCAAAATTAAGGATTTAATAACCCTACATTTTTTAGTGTATACTTTTTACCAAATAAATATAATTTGATTTACCCTTACAATTTACTCATTCAGTTGCAGCAACGAATGTGATTTTCTTTTCTTTTTTTTTTTTTTTGGCCAGGAGAGACCATCTCCCCCTTTTCTGTGGAGTCATCTGAATAGAAGAAAACAAAACATGAGGATTTGTTTACATAAAGCAAGTTTTGCCTTTGGCTCATCATTAATGGGTTGCAATCATGTCACACCACAAATTGAAGTGTGCCCGTGCCCGTGCCCGTGCCTGTGCCTGCCCATTAAATATATAAATCCGGATACAATACAAGTCATCATGTCAGTTTGCTCACCATCATAATCCTTTTTGGAAAGACACTCGTGCCCAATCGACAATGCAATTTACAATGCACTCAGACGATATTAAAATAAAAAATGTTATTTGGACTTAAAATATAAACTTGATTAATTATAAATATTTAACAGATAGTGGGTCCTAATAAATGATAGGACCTATAATGAAATTAATGATAGTAATTGATTAAATTTATATTTTAAGTTTATATAACATTACTCTATCAAAAATAATATCAAAAAGACGCAAACTGCTTGTTCTCAATCCTAGTGTCACTTTGCAATGGTACACTATGATGTAACATTGTTTGTCATTGAACACAATATATATAGATGTCATATTATGTAATGCATACGATTTTTTTTTTTTTTTTTTAATTTTGAACCAAATGTTGAATATATATCAGCCGAAAAGAAAAAGAGAAGATGATTAGAAACCAAGTAGGTAACAAAGACAGTAACAGATCAAGAAAATGAACAGAGTTGAACAATCCAATCCATGGAGTCTACTAAGGATGACGAATTGAAGTCAATGCATGGAGAGTAAGAATCCAGCTCCAGGCCATCTCTTCTTTGTCAATTTAAACTGAAAGAATAGTATGTCAACCTTGTGTTATTGATCGTAAGAGGGAGCTTGCAGTGTAAATGCTAGTGCTAGGATACTAATGGTGTTGGATTCTTCCCAGCAACTTCAAAGTACCATGATTTCCAAACTTCCTCACAATGAGCAAAGAGATCTCTCAAAGCTTGATTGTGATGCTTACGATTTAAATTGTATATGAATCAGTTAATATAATTTTATAATTTTTTTGTTAGTTATTAAAGTGTTAATAAAGGTGTTATACAGTCATATATCACTGTAATGTCATATTGTCAGCAATTTGAATCGGAACAGGAGGAAAGATCGGTTTTC